TTGCCTCTGTGCTGTTGTACACCCTTTACTCTGGATTGTCCAGCTGTCTTATCTTCACCACAGATTGCTCTCCTTTGTCCATGCTTACTTGGGATTTTCACCTAACAGATTTACTGACATAAAACTGTATCTGAACGGACTGAAGAAGCCAACGTTAGCACTTGCCAGGAGGCAGTTTTGATCTTCCCTGGCTGCCTCGGCCTGTTTTTCTTTTCAGAGACAGTCAGGGACATGTGATCCTGATTCAGAGAAAGATTTGTCCCATCTCACATCTATGATTCAGACATTCTGGAGGAAATAAAAAAGAACAAATGCGATTCTTGAAGAAGACATCCCCATGGACATGTAGAGTTTGACTAGTAAGGAAATAGCCTCACCGGGCTGAGCAAAAACATTGTCCATCATCTCAAATCACAATCATTTTCTAGTCAGAAGGGAGCTGTGGTGCTGCAGTGACACTGAACAAAGCAGCCCTCTTCTAGAAAAGGATGTGTCAAAGCGAGGGCACCTCCCGTTTCAGGCAGGCAGTGAAGCTCTGGAAGCCCCTTTCACATGGTGCCGCGCTGCTCTGCTTAGTAGCAGGGCATGACAGATGCCTCTATCCAAGATAAAGTGTGTACTCTTGGCTCTAGTTTTGATATGCTGTGTGGTGTTTGGCAAGGTATTTATCTTATCTGACATAGTAGGAATATGCTACTGTTTTGTATGGAGCTGCTGATATCTATATGTAATAGCTGTAATAGGGTTTATTTCAGTCTGTATAAATATGAGGTATTTGTCACAGGCTTAAATATGGATATTCCTAGCAGTACAAGTGGTAGACACAATTATTAAAAACAAAACAAAAAAAAAAAAAAAAAAAAAGAGAGAGAAAGGAGCTTTATACTGTCTTGAACCAAAGGCAATGAAATGCAGCTTGCTCTTCTACACCGTTGTTGCTTGAGGGTCACAGTTCTAAAACTGTGCCTTAATGCCTGCAGGTTGATGTTGATTTCATTCTTACCTAGGAGATGACTTCCTCATAAATGCGTGTAAGAAAGTCTGTGTTTAAAAAAAAACGGCAGTAATTAAAGAATACAGTCCTCTGCTTCAGCTGGTTGCTAGCAAAGCCATGCTGGAGCCATAGGAGGTATGACCCATGAAAACGAGGTACAAGTATGAATATAGGCTGTTGACTGCTTTGTAGCCACAAGCTCAAGCCAAGACTGTCTGGTTTTAATACCAAAGTAATACTTTAAAGGTGGATTTCACTTCTAAATTTCAGGATTTAATGCTTTGTTTCAATTCGCTAAAGACATTCCAAAAATCTGGGTTGTTTTACACGCTTCAGAGCTATTTCAAAGCAACTGGCAGCAAATATTCTGCCTCACCAGAAGTATTTGGTAGTTCTCAATATCCGTACATGATACGGGAAATTGGATATGAAGGCTGCTGCCTGTTTGAGTAGAATGCTGTTAGCGAGGAGAGGAATTCTGCTTTGAATTTTAAAAGTGTTCAGAGAAAAAACTTGCTTTGAGTTCTTATAGATCTGTTTCATTCACAGGCAATTTGTATCAAAAGGTATAATTTGCTGTGTATTCAATCTTAGAAAGTTTTAAACTTTTTTTTGAAAGGTATTTGCAAAATGTACAAGCTGCACTCCAAAATTTACTATTTTAGGGTTATGTTGCATCTCTGTGACATACCCAAGGGTCTGTGCTAAATCCTGTTTCTGAGCACTCATTCATGAGTAGTATCTTTGATGCTACTGTATGAAGTAGTGTACTCAAACACCAGATGTTTCAGGGGACTCTGTTCTGAGCTAGAAATTTCAGGATACTGTCCTAGTCTAGTACCTGGTGTCTCATCTCACATTTGCTTTGCTTTAAAGACCAGACATTTGGCGGTATTGAAATCTCAACTCAAAGAACACGACCAGAAAGAAAGTCGATTTTGTTTTTTTGGGGAGCTTTTTTGGGGTTAGGGGTTGGTTGGTTTGTTAGTTTGTTGGTTTGGTTTAGTTTCTGTTGGGGTTTTTTTGGTTTTTTTTTTTTTTTTTTTTTTGTTTGTTTGTTTTTTGTTTTTTTTTTTTTTTTGTTTTTTTTTTTCCTTTTCCAGCAACTTATTATCTTGGTCTTTTATGATCAAGGCTTGTACTTTGTAAAAACTTAAACAAATCTAGAATATGGAACCAGCCAAAACCACAAATTCTGATTTAGACCTACTTGGCTCTTCTGAATCATCATGAGCTCCGGGCAATGAGTCAGCCAAGAGCTGTTTTTTTCTTCAGTATTGTGTAAACACAAGATGTTTCCCTGGGCTAAATATTATTAAGTAAAAAAGTCATGTTTATTTGATTTTAATTTTTTTAAATGTCATCTATAAAAAATGATTAATACATAAAGCTACCATCTGGGGAAATCTGAAAATCCTTTTACACTTTCTTCATCAACTCAGTTTTGAACATGAAGCAGTTTTAGGCTACCCTGATTTTTTTATTTGGTCTGTAAGTGATAATAAATTGGATGAAACTACTGAGAAAGCTTCGTGTATTGTGGGAAAATCAGCTTTGGAAATTGCCATTTCATTTAAAATAATTAAGAAAAAACATAGGACTTGAATAATAGTTCTATCATGATTTGAATTCTTAAAAATCAAAATGAAGGTTCTGCAGCTGACCAGTGCAGCTGCAGCAAAAACTTTAGATATGGATACACAGGAGTCTGTAAACATGACATGGGGTTATAATCATCAGGATGCTGTAAGTCTGTCAGCTGCATCAAGCACTGGAAAAGCTAATGGCTATTTTCTAGACATCCCATCCTTTTGCTTCTGGCAAGCTGTCGTGGTTTGAGCCTGGTTGGCAGTCCAAACACCATGCAGCCACTCTCTTCCTCTTCTCTTCCAGCGGTGAGAAGGGACAAATGGGCCAGGCCTGAGGTTCGAGATAGGACTGGGAGGGGCAGATCACCCATTATGGTCATGGGCAAAAGGCAGACTGGTTAGGGGAAGAAAAAAAGGGCAGACATTTATTACAGATACTAACAACACTTACCAGAGTAGGACAGTGAGAAGCATTGCCAGATCTGGAGAACCACTTTCCCCCACCCCTTCTTTCTTCCCGGGCTCAGCTCTGCTCCCGATATCTCTACCTCCTCCCCCAGCAGCGCAGGGGCAGGGAATGGGGGGTGCAGTCAGTGCTGCCGCTGCTTCCATCTTCACTGGGGGGAGCTTCTGGAACTTGTTCCCCCTGCTCCAGCGTGGTCCCCCTCTCACAGGAGACAGTCCTCCACAAACTTCCTCTTGATGTGAGTCCCTCCTATGGGCTGCAGCGTTCCCCACACTGCTCCGGCATGGGACACCAACTTTCTCCAACTGGATTCCCTCCCACGGGCTGCAGCCCTTCCCGAGCTGCTCCGGCGTGGGACACCCCCGCATGCTGCAATCCTCCCAGCACTGAACTGCAGCAGCAGGGCTATCTTTTCCAACAAGACCCTGGCCTTCTTTGGGAACAGTCACCTTGATCAGGCAAGCAGAAGCCACAGGCCATAAATCAGTGCCTGCTCCACCGTAGATCTCCATGGGTGGCAGGGGGGGCCGCCCTGCCGTCTCCTCACAGGATACAGGGGGGTCTTTGCTCCTGCACAGCTCCCCCCTCCTTTCTTCCTCCGTTCCCCCACTGACCTTGGTGTTCACGCAGCTGCGGCAACTCTTCCTCACCAGTCCCACTGCTCCTCCCCACATCCCTTCTTAAATACGTTCTCACAGAGGTGCAGCCGAGTGGCTCAGTTTTGGTGCAGAGGTGGAGCTGACTTGGAGCTGGGGGAGCTTCGAGAAGCTTCTCACAGGGGGCTGCCCCTATAGCCCCCTCCCCTGCCACCAAAAATCCCCATCACTCACTCAACCCAGGACACAAGTCCTCTCATGCACCTTGCATCTTTCCAGAAATCCCTCTTCCTGGCGATAGAATGAGAGGCAGTTCCTTTGCTGAGCTGTCACACCCCCAGCAGTTGCTCCTTTTCCCTCCTTGCCCCTTTGGTGTCTGGAGGTCTGGCTGAGCACCCACACCCAGGTGGTGGGTAGTCCCAGTCCCTTCCCTTTAGTCTTTCAGCTGTGGTGGTGGCCACCACTGTGGAAATTTGGCATAGATGGGCAGGAATCAATCTGCCAGTAAATACAACTCTTCACCATTCACATAGCAGGTAAGAAGATTACAGGGAAATATATATATATAAAATAGTAATAGGGGCAGGAATGTAGTTTATTCCCTTTTTGACTCCATTTATTTTCGTATAGTCTGATGCTTTTAGTTTGTAATGATGCTTTCTCTTTCAAAATCAGTATTTATTGTCTGATTATGGAATTTGTTAACACAGCCCTTAAAGTTTGTTATTCTGCTGAAATCTGTGATTAATTGTGGCACTTTTTTTTTCCCCATCTTGTTTTGTTTACAACTTTTAAAATGTAATACTGCTGAGAAAATAGTTGTATGACATTAAGAAAAATGTTTTAAGATAATTAAAGTCCAGTGACCGGGAACTCCTGTGTATGCTATTTAAAAGATTGATTGGAGGTTCTGCCTGGGAAAAAAGGGAGTTGAATCCTATTAATACAAGATGAAGTCTGACTGTGCTTTTAGTACTTGCTTAGTCATGATTCAGCATGAAGGGCAAAGGCAAGGTGCAGTGTGTGTGTATGTGTCCATACGTGCAGGAGGTGGTAGGAAGTGACTGCCGTGTTCTTCTGTGGGACAGCAAAATCAGAGCTCCTTTAAAAATAACCGTACAGTGAGCTGCACACACAGTCTTTTGGTTTCTTTGTTTATCTCACCTTATGAAAAAGAGAGTCTGAGGGTAGAGAATTTTAAAAAAGTCAATAAATAACACAGAGGAGAATATGCACAGATGCAATACCAGCTCTACAGTTGGCTTATAATCCTGCCTTCTCCCCCAAAATCAAAGACAGACATTAAAGACATGAAAAGGATGACTGGTGTTTATTTTTTTTCCCTCTTTCAATAGTGCGGCTTCATGACAGCATATCAGAAGAAGGATTCCATTACTTAGTCTTTGACTTGTAAGTATGTGTTTTGCATATGATTAGCATGTTGGGGTTGTGGTGTTCAAACTTTTAGATATGAATACAAGCTCACAAGAAAAACGCATGGTTCTGGTGCAATGAGTTGGACAAATAGATGTAAACAGAGCTGGAAGGATAATGTATTTGGTTATCTGCATGTACAAGAACTGATTTGTAAGTGTCAGTGTAAGAATTCCATATTAAAAACTCTGACTAAGTAGGGCCACCGTTGGAGTTGATTTTAATATAAAACATAGGTATGTAGGTAAAAGTTGCATGATATCTGCCAAAGCTAAGCAAACATATGACTCAGAAAAAATAATTTGCTGCAAGCCAGTTGTCTGGAAAGGTAACATAAAAAAACACATGGAAGAATAGTTTCTCTACAGAAAATCTCCAATGCTGGATTGAAAGGTAAGCCCGAGTTTCCTAGAGGGAAAGACTCTTTCAGAATTTTATTCCCGATTCGCACCATACTGATATATAGAATATTTCATTTTGACACGATTCTGAATGTAAAATTCCCAGCATATAGAAAGCACGTTTCCTACTTCTCATTTTGCTTCAGGAATTTCGGTCCTGTGAACTGTTCATGCAGTGACTCTGGGTATGTGGAACTTGTTCCTTTTAGATACGGCTGTTCAGTGGAAGAAGGGATGATGACAACGTGAACTGTGTGTCTCAGACTCTTAACTTAAAAAGAGACACTGATGTTCTTTTTCCAGGAAGGTTTATGGTTTTGACAAACAACACCCTCCACCCCCAAGAGCTTTCTTAGGCTCAACACGGTTTTGCTGGTTAGAATGAGAATACATTATTTCCCCTAGAAGTGTGGAATAGCTCATTTCTAAGCATGCAAACTGAAATACTTGCATTCAGCGTAGCTGAGTTAGAATCTGGATCTTCCACAATCAGTTGTGCGCTTTCATCTTCAGGTTACATTCTGGTTTATTTTTTGACTTAGTTTTTTTAAAGACTTCTTCAAGACTAGGTTTCAGACTAGCAGTACAAAAATATTAAATAGTCTGTCTCCAGTGAAGGCATTCAGGATTCAGTACTCAAATCCTAACTGGGCTCAACAGGAACTTATATCTAATTTGTATATATCCCAGGTAAGTGTTCTGACTGTTGCCTTGGAGATGGATCTAGGGCACAACATGCATATTTATTCTCTGATATGCACTGGGGGTTTTTTGCCCCCCCCCTCTTTTTTTTTTTTTTTATTAAGGGCCACAAAGGAAATCTTTCTACGTCGAATTGGAAAAATCTTACTAATCCTGAACATTTCCAAGAAGTGGATTCAGAATTCTTAGTTCTAGGGACAATATCCCTTTTATAAACTGGTGGCATTTATATTTTTTTGTTGAACTACTGTGCTGTTAGAAACTATGGCCTACTGTAATTGCAGTTAGTCTACTTCTGCCTTAAACTGAATATATAATGTCAGATGTATCTCAGGAGATTATGATTGCAAAGTGAACTAGAAAGCATTTGGGCAACTTTGAAGTTGTGGATACCAGTATCTCGATAGAAACAGAACAAATAGAAGCCTGTATTATGCAATACAAATTAATACCTAACCCAGAGATGTTCCCTTGGCAGAAAACTAGATTCTGCAGGAGGCGTTCCGCTCATGCTGGAACTTCCTCTGTTTCCCCTCAGTCCCATTCAGGACAAACACAGGAACAGACTCAAATATATGCCGTTCATGTAGAATGGTCCTTGTGGTTTTGATTTTCATCCTCTTCAAAGAAAGATGGCTTCAACATATACATGCAGCTTTTTGTTTTGATCATGTGGTTTTGAGTTTTTTGCGAATTAATTATTTTGCAAAAAAGAAAACGTCTAAATGGTGGAGGCGGTGGCTGTACTGACTGATAGCTGTCTTTGGAAAAGCGACATGGGGCATTCTTGAAGAACTTTTGCCTAATTTGTAAGGATGGCTGTTCACCCTTAACCTTCCATTCAGAGTAAGAAATTATTCTTTTAATGCTCAGTAATACTATTTATTAGTGAAACTTCATCTTTTATTACGGTTACAAATATGTTAGTGGCTTGTTTAAATGTATATGAGAGAGCTGCCACGAAAAAAGGTACCATATGAACTTCCTTAATATGAAGACCAAGTACATGCTTTTATTTATTTAATTAATTTTTATTCAGCAGGAGCCTGACTGTGGTGTAACACTGTCACTCCACCCGCGCATACCATCATGTCATTATCTTAATGATTTCTTTCAGACTGCGTGGGATTCAGTATGACTGTTTCTTTAGAAATTTCTTTTAGACTGCATCCCACATAAGAAAGTGAAGAGGAAGAGTGCTTTTTCTGTGAATAGAAAAAAAACAACCATTGTCACTTTCTATTTTGAATTTCTAATAATCTTTTTTGAATTAATGTGATAGAGATGTCTTCAATCTGAAGGAGAAGCCTGTTGCTTTGCTTATATGCTTCAGTGACAGCTGTGCTCTCATCTGGAGAAAAAAAGTGATTAACCTCTGTTACAGGCGTGCATTTGGGTGAAGATTTCTTGTGTCAAAATGGGAGGCTGGAAGCCTTTTAAAATTCATGTGGAAACTGGACACTGAACAATGAAATATGGGCTTTCTGATAAAATGTGATATTGTGGTGTTCCTTTAAGAAGCCCTGCTTATGAGAGAAATACATGCACTGAAGTATTGACATATGAGCTAGAGAGAGAAAGAGAGAGAGAGGGAGGGAGAGAGAGATGTAGATATAAAAATTTGATCTTTAGGTGCTGACTCCCTATCTCTGAAATAAGTATATGGTGGAGTCATACTGAAGTATGCCAGTTGTTTTGCACTTGACTAGGCAAAGTAGTGATTTTCAAGGTCTTGTTGATGTCACTGCCAAGGAACAGAAGCATCTTACTGACCTACCAATATAGCTCCTACATATTTTAGAAAATTAACTAAGATAGCTTTCTGTGATACTTCTCCCAAGCAAAGGACTTGCTCGTGTTTTGTTTCTCTCACTAGATACGGTGATTTGTGGATTAAGAAAATGTGCGTAGCGAGATTAGTAATGAACATCATGAAGTTTCTTACTCCTCTTCCCTTATTGGTTAAGGCAACTGTAGTTAGGATTTACGTGTCTCTATCAGCCCATTTCAGTTGCTAAGCACGAATGAGATTGTCTTCAGCATTAATGATGTTAGATGAGTTCAAATCCAATCAATTCTGTCAGTATTAATTGCTGTATCTGAATGGAAACAGCTGTAGCACTTGAAGACTCTCTTGTGCAAGTCAATGAGATTCTCCTTTTTCAGTGTCTCCCATTTTAATGCACTCGATGAGATGCAACAATTGGTACATTTAGAATCCTGGCGTTGCTGTTGAATTCCAAGTGGAGGGACTGTACTGTGTAGAAGAAATAAAAATGGAAAAAAAAATAATCCTAATTGCAAAACAATGCTTGCCTAGGGTAAGCGCCTGAACCTCTCTTCTTCAGAAGTAGGAATGTCACAGATAAATGCAAAAAGCATGTGACCACTGTAGTTTTGTAAGGCTGCTTCTTCACACTTTCGGTACGAAAGCGATTTAAGAAATAAGGAATGTAAGCTAGGAGGAAACAACGCCAGTGCGGTCATCAGCAGAGGCTTTTTTAGCTAGCTTTACGAACTTGGGAGTTCCTTTTAAATATCTTCTTATATTTGTAAATTTTCCTAATTAATCGAATATGATACATGAAGTTGAGTAGTTTTGTAGGTGTTGTTATGAATGTTTGCAAGAAAAAATGTGGCATTTAACACTGTAAATGCAGTCATTTGCTTTAGTGAGGTTAGAAAGTCAGTTGAACGAAGCAGTTAAAAACTGCTTCTTAATGTACCTCTTCTGAGAGGTAAACAGAAATAGCATCCTTTGTATGGTGAATCCTTCTGCTTACACAGCTCTGCAGTTTTTCTGAAAGACATACCTGGTGCAGAGGGCCTTGGTGTTTCTACGTGCTGCTTGTACTTCTTTAGTTTAAACTGTATGGAGTATAAAAGCAGTTGATCGGTAACTGCTCTGTTCTTTAACGATAAAATCAGTGAGTAACGTAGGTTGGTAAGGATCCCTAGAGGTTATCTGGCCTAACCCCCTTCTCGAACAAGGTTGCTCAGGGATTTGTCAAGGTTGGAACATCTTCAAGGTTGGAACATTTTCAAGGATGGAAATTCCACAACCTCTTTGAGCAACAAGTGCATAATAAATGATTATAATGACAATCAAGGCAGAAAAATCCTTGTATCTGTTTGGTATTTCTGGTGTTTGAGCTTGTCTGTTGCCTTTCACGCTGTCTCTGCATATCCACGCATTAGAGAGTTGTAGACAGCAATGAGTTCTCCCCTGAACCTTCACATCTTCACATCACATTGGGTGACCAAGCCAAATCATCTCAGCCTCTCCATGTACCTTAAACTCTGTCTTAGTGGCCCTCCGTTAGCCACAGTTCATTATGTCAGTGTCATTTGTGCACTGGGAAGCCCAAAAGCGGGGACAGTACTCCAGGTGTGATCTCACAAGTGCCAAATGCAAGGGAAGAATCACTTCCTTCAACCTGCGGACTGTCCTATATTGTGATACAGCTGACCTTTTTTGCTGCAAGGACACATTGCTCATGCACGCTCAGTGAGCAAAGGGCACTAACACGTTTATAACAATCTTCTCAGAGTCGGAGGCTCAGAAGATGCAGGTGAGTTGTGGCCTCTCAGTGCCCTGCGCTACGTTCCTTCACTACGGCCATTTAGCTGTCTTCTGAGAATTATTGCTAATGTATTCTTCAGAGTGGCAGCGCATGGGAATTGTTGACTACTTGTTTGGCTGTCTGTGAAATTCACCTGCTCTGGTTTTGCTTTTATTTTTTCATCGTTTAAGAACGGTTATGAATGCCACGAAAATGCTTAGTGTCAGCAAATAAGAATGCACATCCTCCTCTTTTATCTGTGCTTGAGAAGAACAAGCATGGGTTTGGTGTTCTCTCCCACTGAAACGCACTTTGACAACAAAAGCTTTTTTTTTTTTTTTTTTTGGTTTGGATCAAAAGTGAGTGTTTTAGGGAAGAATAAGATCAAAGGATGCTTTGTTTTTTCATTCATTACAAAGTGAGAACTAGTCCTCTTTACCAGAACTGTGGTAGACAAATATGTATGCAAAAAGGAGGTTTCAAAGACTGTCAGAATATGCATCAATCAAACATTTTGTGTTATAGCTACCAAAGCCAGTTTCTGGAAGGTAGGAGACAAAAAGAAAAAGAAAGAGAGTACAAATTAGGCAACCGGCTATTTTACCTCCTCCAGATTTTTTTGCAGACTTTTGTACAAAATAGCATTCTGCTACCTGAAAGTGATCACTTTCCAACGTCAGTAAGGTGTAAACTCAGATAAAGGATAATGTAGCCCAAATTTAAATGGAAACATGAAACTGAAGTTTGTAACTGGCCTTCTTGAAGAAAGGAGCTGTGCTGCTGGTTGAGCAAGTCATTTCTGTCATCCTCGCGTGTGACTGAATAACTGGGATCTACGACAAGCTGTTAGTACAGTAATTTGCTAATGAATGTTACAGTTCTGAAGATTCAAAGCATCCTCATTTTTAATTTTTTAATCCTATTAAACTTAATTGTATTCCATAATGATTGTATTCATTGTATAGATTTTTAAGCATCTTAATCTTTAAGCATCTTGTAGCTCACTCTGGATTTTACGTTTGGGAATTTATTGAGGATATAATGTGCTATATGAAAATTCACTGCACTCATAAACAGCAATGAAATACGAACGTCGATCTCCCACCTAGGAATTACTTATGTTGGCCTATCAGCAGGATCAAGGTTTTGGGAAGCCGGAGTCAGACTAACCCCTGCATGCTGCCTGTTGAGGCGATGTTTAGGTGCCCTGGCTAGGTGCGTCTGTTTTCAGCCATTCAGTACAGCACCTGAATATCTGAAGATTTGCATTTAGCTGTGGAGGTATGCCATTGTATTCCATAAAAGGGAGGTGTTATAGTACAGGAAAGGGCTTCCTGTTTCTTGGAGTCCACTCTCCTGTTGACACAGGCAGACGAGTTTAATGATTTTATTTAAAAGCTCATCCAGCTTCACCTTAAAAATAGAGCACCCATCTCTTTACCAAGTTACTTTACCAAAGTTACTTACCAAGTTACTTTACCAAAAACTGTTTAATTACACTAGCTTTATGTTTGTTAGAAAACTTCTCCTGACTTTAACCCTGTATTTCTTCACAGGCCTTGTATGTTTATTTATTATTGTACTAATATTGTCCGTTACAGCTCTCCTCTATAGAGAGCACGGTTTATGTACTTTGTCTTCAGTATTTATTTTCATCCCTCTTAAACTTTATTTTGCCAAGCTAAAGTGACTTTGCTTCTCTATGAAGATACGATGAGTGAGTGAGTGGATAGCCTAATAGCCAATTTTTTGCTCATATTGCTGTTTCAGTTTTCTTTTCTGAATGTGAGTGACCAGCACTGAGTACAATATGAGGAGGGATTTTACTGCTGTATGTAAGGATGTGGCTGTCACCCTACTTCAAATGCATTCCAAGCCTGTGGCAGCATCCTGCTGGTGACTCATTCTGGACTGTCATCTTTGGGTTATAACAACATGGTTTTATTTATTTTTAACCACTTCCTACTATTAAACCACTGGTTGTACAATGAAGTCCCAAGTATGCAACCATGCACAGTTGCTTCTGTTACTGGTCCTCCAGATCATATAGTTCTTTCCTCGTACTATTAATGCCTTTTAAATTATTTTAAGTGGTACTTTCACTAAGCCATTCCTACTTTCTTGACAAAGATAACTGAAAATTCTGTAGGAAAAAATTCTGCCATTAAACTGTGTAAGGTCCTCTGCTTCTACTGATAGTCTCCTTCCAACTCAGTAATGCTCTTTCTAGTAAAAGCACAAAACGCAAGCCGTCCTGGTGCTTGGCTACACCTCTGATGTGTTTTGACCTATGCTTAAAGACTCTTTTCCCTTTTTAGCATTATTGTATTCTCCTTGCTTACATCTGACTTATGTTGCAGTTCGCAGTTTATCCTCAATTGTTCTGAACTTCAGCCACAATTTTCCTTGCTGGTCAGTTCCTTTCATTCTTGTAGTTTTACTTAATACTCGATATCCTTAACTGATGTACGGCATCTTACCCAATAAGCTGCTGCTCTTTGTTTTTATTTTCTAGTTATGATTGCTCTTCCACCACATCCTTTTTATTCTTGTAATGATTTGGATGGGCAAACCTTCCACTTTAGTTCCTTCACCTTTGCTGGTAAAGACCTCTTGCATTTCTGTACAGATATTTCAGTTACTCCTCTGACTTCTCCCTGTCAAGTTAATTTAAGATGCACATTTTTACTTCTGAAATCTCCTTTCCCATCTTGCTTTTTCTAACAGAGTCACTGGAGGTGAATTATTTGAAGATATAGTTGCAAGAGAATATTATAGTGAAGCAGATGCCAGGTAAGTCACTTATTTTTCTGATCTTGCCTTCAATAATTCTAGGATAGTTACTTAAATATGGTGTTTGGCATCAGTTTTACTAGCACAGTGTGTGAGACTCTAGGTTTTCTCCTAGAGTTCTCCAAGACTTGGATGGGCACAGTTTGGCGTTTTGAGCTCACGACTGTGTGGTGGTGTACTTATCCGTAGTCTTGATGTCTGTCTGCTGATATGAAAAATCTGAAATTGGATCTCAGTTTGTTAAAATCCTTGCAAACCTGTGAAGTTGTTAAAATCTTACCAGTTTTCGTTTCTGCAAATTGGACATAACATTTCAACTATCTCATCTAGGGATTCTTACTGATTTGCTGATCAAAGCTTGAAATATATGTTGGTCTGGAAAGAATTTTACATTAAATGTAATTTTTGTTCTCGGTCCAGAAGTACTAATTTCCTTTTCATATTTAAACATCTTTGTTGTGCTTCATCAATAAGCAATTATACTGTGCATCTCATAGTCTGAGCTCAAATATGAAATCTCTAGCAATTTTCTGCAAGTGCTTGTTGAAAAACTTGAAGAATAAATTGACAATTATCATAATTTGCATGCTGACATAAAGTATCAAGGCCATTTTTCCATCTCAGAATGTTTGCCCTCATATAATAATAAATCTTAAATATTCTCATGCAGTTATGAATCTTAAACATTGTGGTCAATTAGTGTAAAGAAAATATGTTCTACCACTACACTCTTCACAGAAAATCTATCTCAAAGTAAATTTAAAGAATCCTCATGGTTTTGTGTTTTTGTAGTTACACACCACCATTGATACATATTTAGTACTTATAATTTTCAGTTGTCCCTTTACATTTGGAATTATCTGACCAGAATGCATTAAGTGTCCCTAACAACAGTTGTAGGATAATAATGAACAAACAAGTTACTCTGAATATTAAGAATCCTGTTACTAATTTCTGTAGGAATGGTAGAAACATCATTGCTTCGAGCATTTAAATGTGGAACAACACATAGCAAAACACACTGTAGAAGAGAAAAGGGAATTAGCAATTTAGGTGGGGTGGAAGGAGAGGAGCTGTGTTTAAAAAAATTTTTAATGATTTTTTTGCCTGCTGTGATTCAAGCAGAATTTCTAGTATTGATGCCAAAGGCCAGCATATGGTGTAATTGTGTGTTTTAAAGATACTTGTGAGTTAAAAGGAAAAATTGTGATTTTTTTTTTCTGTTCTAGAATTGTGATGTATTGGAAGGGGCTTTGCATATATATAGAGAGGATATATATATGCATCTTATATATTCAGTAAAAACTTGACCAAATAAGTGAATATCTAGTTACCGTGCATCTCTGTATTTTTATATATTTATATATATATATTCATGTGTGTGTGTATATATATATATCTATATTTATATATATAGTGTGTGTATGTGTATCCCTATAGAAATTGTTGATGGACTTTATAGATGCATATCCTAGGACTGTTAATACTGGTCTGCTCCTGCAAGCCCTTACTCATGCAAGTAGTCTTTACTCATAGGAGCCCTCCAGTTCAGTGAGTTGTGAGCTACTCGCATAAGAAAGGGTTTTCAGGCTTGGGCTCCAGTTACTGATTCATGGCCATTCCTTCTGAATTCCATGGTCAAAACGTTTTGGATGAGCAGCATCAAATCCTTGACCCTTGACTACTGCGTAGCGCTTAGAGTCACTGACTGCTGCCACAAGTCTGTCTTTAAAAAAAAGAAGTATAAGCTCTTGTGGTGCAGAAAAACGTCTGAAAAAGTTCCAGTGCTCTAAAAGATGAATACTTTAGTTGTGCTTTTTGGCATCGTAGGCTGGCCAAAACTTGCAAACCTGGGCATGGAAGAAGAGGTGCTAATAAATTGTTGAAAGCACCAAAATAAAATGTTTGTCTAGATTTTAATGTGGATTTCCATTTGATGAGTGACTCCTAACTAAACTAGTACCTGATAATATTTTAAATGAAAATGCATGCCACCTTTTTGAATGACTTGGCTTTATTCTACTAAGAGTTTTTAAGAAACCATTAGATTCAAAATGAGAAATGTTTTGCTTTTCCTTAGCTTTTGACTTTTTTTGTTTCATTTGTTGTCTGTATATCATTCCATTTCTGAGCAACTTCTTGTTTCCGCATTTTTCGTAATGTTAACTTCACTATAAAAATTGAGAAAAAACCAAAACATATCACTAATTGTTTTATTGTCTCCACTTTATTTTTCCTATAGCAGTTTTTGGAAACTGGAAAGAGCTTCCATACTGCTGAATGAAAATACAACTTAATGATTCTCATAGGTGCCATATGTTCCGTGTTAAATGTCTTTTTTGATTTGTGTGGGTTTTTTTGTTGTTTTTTTTTTTTGTTTGTTTGGTTTGGTTTTGTTGTTATTTTGGTTTTTGGATGTGTTAGAGCTGGAAATATATCTATATTCAATATTGTTTTGTTCCAGTTCAATGTGCAATCAAGACTTGTCAGGAGGTGTAAAATTGTTTTTGTTCTTTATATTTTTTTTATTTTATTTTATTTTGTATTTAATGTGATTATGTGCCTTTAAAATGTTCTCCCTACCATTCTGCCCTTGTATCTTTGCAGTCATTGTATACAGCAGATTCTAGAAAGTGTTAATCATTGTCATCTAAATGGCATAGTTCACAGAGACCTGAAGGTCAGTATCTGGTGCCCATCAATTGGATATAAGAGTTTGTTTGTTTTTTTTTTTTTTTTTTCCGCTGGGTAGGGGCAGAGGGTGGGGTGTCTGCCATGTTCCCTTGCCTATCCTACTCACCCTCAAAACAACTAGACGAACAAATAATGCATGACGCCTCTTTCCAGTTTGCAAGTCTACAGGCCTAATATACATCATGGCAAAAGGGGGAATGGTTGCCAAAAAAAAAAAAAAAAAACAAAACCAAAAACGGTCTCCTTCCAAGGCGCTGGAGTTATCCCATGCTGTCGAACGTGTGTGGTGTTCTGTTGAGGCTGTCCGTGTATCGCTGTGCACGCCCACGGAGGTGAACTTTGGCTGTGATGTATGTCAGCTTGCAGATTTAAACGCCACTTGTGTTCCGAGCCCCCGGGTTGCAGTAGCAGAACAGCCGGTCGCACACTGCTGCATTAGAGTATGACGAACCCTCAGGCAAGTGATGATGCTAATTGCCGACTAAATTGGACAGCAAAAGTTAATACTTTACCTAAACCACCTTGCTCGGAGCGGGGTTTTTTGTTACCACAGCGGCTGCTAGAATTTCTAACACCTCCGAGAGAGCTCTCGGTAGGGAAAGGACGAAAAAGTACAGAGGATGCCAAATATTTAATACGAGCTCGTAAGCGAATTATTGGCAAAATCGGCATGCTTTCCCGACAATTTTCCTTTTCAAAATTGTCATGAAAAAAAAAAAAACAAGAAAAAAAAAAACAAAAAAACAAAAAAACAAAACCACCCGACCGCAAATTAACAGCAAAAAGAAAGAAGCCGCCGCCCCGAAGCGCGTCTCCGAGGCTGGCCCCTTGCCGCCGCCAGCCTGCGGGGTCCCGGCAGCGGCGCTGCCTGAGGCCGTCGTGCTCTGAGCGGCGCGGAGCGGCGCGGAGGGGCGCGGAGGAGCGGGGAGCGCGGAGCCCGCCCGGCCCCGGCCCCGGCCCCGCTCCCGGCCCCGGCCCCGGCCCCGGCGCCCGGCTGCGGGCGGCGAGCGCACGCTTGGAACTAACCCGCGCCCCTGGTGTTTGCATGCAGTCATTGCATTCAGCAGATCCTGGAGGCTGTGCTCCACTGCCATCAGATGGGCGTAGTCCATCGCGACCTCAAGGTGAGTGCTGCTGTCCCGACAGGCCCCGCCCCCGCCGGGGCCGCTGCCCGCCGCCGCCCCCGCGGCGCTCCGCCCTGCGCAGCGCGGAGCAGCAGAGCCGAGCAGAGCCGAGCCTTCAGCACTGCAGAGCTAAATGGTTTGGGGTGCGTTTGTTTTGGGGGGGGGGGGAGGGGGGGGTGTTGTCCTTTTTTTTTTTTTTTTAACTCCTCCTTTTGACTTCACCTATGCACAAGAACGAACTACTAGTGCTCGCTGGAGAAAATCTGCTAAAGGCTTGCCAACACCTAGTTTTCCAGATCTGGGCTGTGAAGACAGCCAGCACCTGCGGTCAGTACTAGGGAGAACAGTAGTTGCTCTTCAAGCCTTTGGTGTATTCACTGAATACCCAGGTCTTCCTTCTCTGCCATCCAGAGCTTTTGGGGCAGGCCGTGGGGGGAACTTTCCAACTCTCGGTTTGGAGTGCTCCTGGGAAGCACACTAGCGTTCGCACATCACGCGTTTTAGCGACGAAAGGCCAGCTGCTGTGTGATGGTTGCTGGCACGAAGACCTCTCTCTCCTCCAGATGATGACTGGGCTGCAGAACATCTTTAGAAAGCGGGAATTTCTGCACTGAGCTCACCATGATCACCTGAGGAGTCGAACTCCTGCCAGACAAACGGTAGCATTGGGATAGAAACTTCAGGAAAAAAACTCTTGTGTTGAGAAGAGCATTACCTCTTTCTTAACCATGTACATATCCAAATGGCTGGAGACGTCTGCTGCAGAAATGCTCTCTGCATTTAAAGCATGTTGGCATGGAAAGAAACAAGGAAAGATCATTTTCCTTTACTGGGAAGCTCAGAGAGAGAAGTCTGTCTCACAGCTGGTAGTAAACTAGCTTTGTGGATAAGGGAGAGGACTCAGTTTGGGTAGTTGGGCTTCAAGATCCTCAAGTAAAAGAAAATTGTTTATTTTGAAATCAAATGGAAGTGCACTGTCTGAAATACCAGATCCTGTACAAAGGCTGGGGAAAAATGGCATGTTGGCTAAGAAAATGAAACATGATAATTCCTTCTGGCACAGCTTCTTTGCCTCTTATTTTCCTCTCTGAATGAGTTACGGGGAGTGGGAATTTCCTCCCAGGGTAGGAGTTTTCTAGTGGTTATCATTAGTAATAACTTTGGAATTGGAATGCCGTCATCTTTCTTGCCATCCTTCACTCCCAAATAAACAACTGCTATAGTCATTGTCTGAATTTATAAAGTCTCTGTTGTTGTCCTGTTAGAACATAAAGGGTTATGCTCCGAAAGCTCGGAGGCCACGATGGATTTCAAAGACACATACACAAAATTCTCTACCCATTTTGCACTTTTGGATTTTCCTGTCTCTCCAATCTATAAATCCTGCCTGGCAGCTGGATAGCATGGAACAAGTTTAAATGAAAGGATGTCAAATTTGTCCAGCTGCTCCAGCGATTCCTGTCCTCACTGTACATGCAGTACTATGCTTCGAGCAGGAAAATGATTTGAAAGAAAAAACAACCAAACAATTGTAGCCACACAAGCTGACAGAATAAGGAATGTTTTCACACAAAATAACTTTTTCTTTGGAAATACATTCAATCCAGCGGTTCCCTGCTCCAAACCATGTGTGGGTTTCTTATTCTGGCAAATACAGGATGAATTGGAAAAACAGTGTGAGAAAAAACATTTCTGCCAGGCTGTAGTTTCATTTCTGAAAGTGAAAACTTCAGGAAGCAGAAAACCGTCCTTCTTCAGTTACTACTTTGTGGCAAAATTAAAAAAGAAAAAGTGAAATGAAACGCTGTGGTGAAACCCAGCAGAACTCTCTGTACTGAAAAGAAGATACTGAGGCCCAAGACCAGAACTACAAGACATGTAGAAGGTGGTTATGGCCTGGCATGGATCCTTAAACTGCAAAACTTGGATTTTTTTGCTGATAACTCAGACCACAATTCGGTGGCGTGTTTGGGGGTGGGGAGGGCAAAGAGAACAGGAGACTTTGGACAATCTCATTTTATTTAAGTTTCCTTTTAGCATCATTTGGTAGTAAACAGAAGAGCTTTTGCGGGCTCTTATGACCTGCAGGAGTGCTTGTTGCTGATCTGTTTGTAATCCTTGATATAAGGCAGAATGATGGTGGATCCTAGATCCAGAAAAAATTTAACCTGTTAGTGACAGTCTGTCTTTAACAGATGGCAAAAGCGCACGCTTCCATGTAAGAATTCCAGTTCTTGGCAGTCTGCTGCTTTTGTGAAACACTGATTATGACCTTCTTGCGTTCCCCCTTGCCCCCAAAAAAGAAGATGCTCTAGTTATATTCAGGGAAAAATACACAGAGGCATAAGTACATGATCTCTTAAGAATTAAAAGACCTTCGGAAAAATAAGGCATAAATCAGGTTAATTTATTTGTAAGTAATATTAGTAGTTAACACTGCCATTCTGCATGCTTGACTGCAGCCAGTCTACCGGTACCCAAGGTGACACTATTGAATCCGGAGTGCGAGTCCTGAGTGGCCCACGCTGGGCTGTTAATGTTTTCCAAGTAATTGCAGTCATTCTAAGTTAATGCATGGTAATTATCTAGTCTGCCTCTCGTCACCCTGAAGTGACAGCTGCATGTTGTTTAAGCGCATAGTGCCACACAACATTGCCCAAAAGGCTGTTGTCTTTGGCATAGGAGTAAATCAGGAAATCTGCTCCAGCTTCTGCTGAAACATATTCACCTATGACAGTGGTGGTTCTGCAGAGCACTTTGATTGCTGGGGTAAAGACACATAATGGAATTTAAAAAAAAAAAAAAAAATCCCAAGGGGGGAGGGAAATAAACAACAAAAAACCAAACAACAAACAAAACAAAACAAAAAAAAAAACAGCAGAAGAAACCACAAAACTACTCTTTTGAATGGCATCACGTGTTGCGGAGTGGTATGCGCTTGGTAGGTTAGTGCTTGTGTTTCAACCAAGAGGATGAGCCATTTCACTGCTTTTGGCTTGCAGGTCACAACCAAATAGGATCATCCATTGCTTTAAGAGTTTTATATAAGAAGTGCATTCCAGGAAGTAATTACTGTAAGCTTGTCTCCCCCATAGGAAATCTTCAGGAACTATGTGACGATATGTTGAAATTGGTAGAGTTAAATTGCTCACATGGGTGTTGATGAACCTAGAGAAGAGTCCTCAGCTGTTCAGTCAGTGTTTGATATAATGTAGCTGAAGTGGTTACTGATAATTTAAGTGAATATAAAGATTGTATTTTATTCTGAGAGACCTTAATCTCAAGTTTTAACAATGTGGAAATAGAAGATTCATCAAGTCACTGTTGATAAAAGGTTTTTAACACTGTCTTTTCTATGACAGAGCAAGGAATGAGTGAGTGAGAGAATGGTGTTTGTAACTTGCTGAAAAAAATGTTTCTTCACAGTTTGGTGAGAGGGGGAAAAAACACCTTTAGGCTAAAGAGTTTGTCAGGGCGAGTTATGGTGTTCATTAACAGAAGTATCACAGTGGTTGAGGTCTTAATTAGGTTCAAGCATATTTTGTTGGATACTTGACAGAGGCATTAAAGATAGCCCTTGCTGAAAGAAGCTTATGATCTTAATTGTTTCCAAACTCAGTACCTGCATGGGATTAACTGTAATCAGGTAAATAGTCCCTTGGAAACCTAGGTGATTGCATCTGGGTTTAAACTGAAATATGGGTTTAAGAGTTTGCAGGATTGGGTCCTCAGTGCCAGACCAGATACAGTGAATTCCCTTGTGAGAGATCGCTACAAAAATTGCTTCTGAGAGAGTCACAGCAATACCCTTGAAAGTGAGGTTTTGTTATTATGTAAACGTAGAACAAAACCATCTCTAAAAATAATGGAGATAGAAAAGAAAGAAATAGCAAGAAAATACTGTAGAGGTCACAGTTCTCTGAAATAATAAATTGAATTCGACAGGATTTTGTAGGTTTGTTTTGTTTTGGTTTTTTAAGTTAATAGAATAAAGTTATCTTTGAACAATTTGCATTTCATGCATTCGATAAATGAAGTTAAAAGGATACATTATGAACAGTAGAATGAACACTATTTTTGTTCAAATCCTTTCCTTTTAATGGAGTGTACTGTAGCATTTGATTTCAGATATGACCAACATACCCTAAAGAAAAAGCAAAGTGGGAACTTTTGCAAACTTATATTGTTATTTGTAATAGGTACTCTGCAAGCATAAATGTGGGCATGCTGTTTTTGCTGAAAGATTTGCAATGTAAATACACCTGCCCTCTAAATACAAATATAATAATACGTCTCTTATTGTTAAGCTGTCATGCAAAACAGATTTCTGCTTGACAGTTAGAGATGCCTAATCCTGCAAACTGAATAGGTTAGACTAGTAATCAAAGAATACGTGTCTTTGGGGTTTTTTCTGCAGCATTTTTCTGCTGGTGAGCTCTGAGGAGTCTCCGAATTGTCTTCTCATGCAAAGAGGTGTTGCAAAGAGGTGTTGGCCATTCTGGCCAACCTCCTCCTCGGGTAGATCCGCACGCTGTCCTTACCTTAGCCTTGCTGTCATGGGATCACAAAGGCTCTTTACAGGCCTGGTGGTTCTTTCCAAGTAGGAATGGAAAGTGCAAGTTTTGCAATTTCATGGAGGAAACGCATGGTCAAAGTATTTGTTCTTTTCCAGACTACCGTAACTAAAAAAAAAAAGTGAAAACCTGTCTAAAATATATTTACTTACCTTTTCATCTCAATTTTTTTCTCTCTCTGAATAAAGCCTGAGAACTTACTTTTAGCTAGCAAATCCAAGGGAGCAGCAGTAAAACTGGCAGACTTTGGATTGGCTATAGAAGTCCAAGGAGAACAACAGGCTTGGTTTGGTAAGTAAATATTTTTTTTCCTCATCATTTATTCAGTGTAGCCATTAAGCCTCCCAAACCACCCAACTCTCACCCTAGTGTAAAACAGGCAGCTGTGTGACCACTTAATACGTAGCTTTAAGGAGTATTTTGTTCATAGTTCAGTCTCTGAAGCTGATTACACTTTAGACCTTTTTCTCCAGGAAGAATGTTATCTGTAATTCTCATCGAATTAAACAGAGCTTGGTAGCAGACCTCATTTGTTTAAAAAAGGGGAAAAAAATAAAAATCCTCCTACACTTCAAACGTGACGTGTGGCTACATTTCCAAATCTCAGAGCTCAATCAGACAAAAAGTGGCTCTGCCTCATAGCCTCCTCTTCCCTAGCGAAGGTAAATCACCTTGCCAAACAGCTTAAAATAAATTGGCAAACGTCTCTTCTGTTGGCAACAGTGTGTTCATACTGGGGATTTTGCCAGCACAGCAGTGCTGGTACGGGGTAGGATGGAGGGAGAGAGTTTTCAAATTCATGCTTAGAGTAAATACAGCTTTGCAGATGTCCCTTTTCTGTGTGCTCTAACTGCCACTGATTTCTTGACCCTGAAACTTCGGTTTCCTGATTCACAGCTTGTCCTAGTTTTTGTCAGCCTGTGAGTTTGCCTGAGATGTAGGTGCACCCACGCTCCTTCTCCAATGCTTCCCCTTGTGTATCTACAGGAAGGAAATCTGGGTGTAGAGCCTGGGAGGGAGATGGGTGCTTTCCAGTCAGGTGCGTGGGTGACTGAGGAGTAAGACTGTAGGTTAATACTGCTGAGTGTACCTGCCCAGTCATCAAAACATTTTGTCTAAACAGTTGTCTGTCAGCTGGAAATACCACCTGAAAATTTTGTTCTGAAGCACTTTGGAATGTGACTTGAACAAAAAAAAAAAAAAAAATGTGAATACCTGAGACAGTCATCCACATCTAGATGTTGCTGTGACAGTACAAGTTATCTGTCCCAGCTGTTTATATTGCTGTCCTAGAGGTCATTGCCCCTTCACATCTGCAAGTAAAACTGTTCATAAAACTGCTTTTTGACCCACTGAGGTCGAAATAAGCTGGCTTATTAAAAATGTACAATCATTAATATATAAGCACCTGACATAGTAGGTCATGAAGAGCATAAACCCAGGAAGGTAGAGGGTGGTTAAAAGCATCTGACACCTTGCACAATAGTCTGGAAAAGGTCATCTATCCACAGCTTACAAACATATGAAGTTGGGACTGGGGCTTCTCAGCTACATTAGTGATTTTGAAAACATTATCTTCACCTGGAAGGGATCAAGAGTATGCTTGCTTGATGGTGAAGGTGACAAAGATGTATGGGAATGTGGAAGCAAATTCCATCTGTGCGTGTGAGCACCAGAAGAGAGCACGTGCTGTGCTTCGGACATGCTCAGGAGATGTTGGAAAGGGAGGGTGTCTGCCCTCCTGAAGGTGGCAATTGATGCTGTAAACCAGGTCTCCAGAACCAATACCTGGAATGCATCTTAACGTGTTCCATACAACACTCCACTTCAGGTTACAAGAGGATTAGGGGTAGTAAGTTAAATACTATGTGCTTCTCTCCAGTTCTACTACACTAGACTTTTTTTTTTTTTTAAATTGCTAGTTGCAGCTTGTTTGTTACGGTTACAGATGCACAAAGGAAAATGGTGGAAAAGATTTAATACTGGTCATTTTAAATAATAGGACACATACAAACACGGTGCATCTCTCTCACATACCACCTCTTTGAACAGATGTGAAGCACAGGACAAAATTTATTGTAAAACCCAGGAGGAAAAATACAGGATAAAATATTTATAGCAACTACCTTTTCTCACAGCAGCTAGAAATTGCAGTTTAAAATTTAACAAAGTGAGTGTGAGCTTGCTGTCAAAGCTTACAATAAAAGCATAAAGGATTTTGTGCAGGCAATGGGTTGAGAGACTGAGTGTTTGAAATCGAGAATATAACTACAAGTGGATGCACAGGCAGTACTGTTGGACATATGTTGGTTGCTTTATAAGCTAGCCTGTTGTTTTAAATCCCAGCCTTTATATAAATGGATTTCAGTAATCCACAAAAGACAGAGGAGGTTGCTTTTGCCCATTAACTGATAGACCAGTACAAAAAGAGTGGAATGGAAATAAGACAAAACACAAGTGATTTATTATAATGACAAAAACATCAGGTAAACAGGAAGCATCTCAAGAAAATTCAGCAGAATGAACTTGACTTCAGGAATATTTTCTGTAGGTAATACATGTGTATGGATGCAGATGATGCACAGGAGGTTGCAATTCCCAGTAATTCATGCATGTTATTTTTTGGTCATTTGGTTCCTGTGAAGTACTTGGTTTAGACTTGTAGCGTCATGAGGACTGCCATGCTGAACTTGGTAGAAAGGAGATTGAACAGAATGACTTCAGAATACATATGTAAGGAAGAGGTAAGCTGACAGCAAGGTGGTAGAAAGAAAGTAGTCTAATGTAGTGCCTTTTTTTTTATCATTTGTGATATTTGATAAGACTAGTGGGTTCTGTACCTTTTCTGGAACTTCCTCTGCAAAACCTTTCCCTAATGGTCTGAGTGCCTTCCCTCATCTTTATGACTGCATTAACAAGGGAAATCACAAACTCCCATGTTCTCAGCATTTTGAACTTTTTCTTGCTTCCAAAAGACTTTTTTTGCTTTCCACCGGATTCTGCAGCACTTAGTGACTCATGGCATGCCCTGATACTAATTATAGCTCTGCATCAGTATGTTTTTCTTTTTTGTTGTTGTTGTTTTTCTTTTTTTTTTTTTTTTTTTTGGGTGTAGCCCTCTGGTGCGATGATTGCTTTTCTGCTTAAGTCATGGCTATGCCTCAGCAGGAAACTGGCTAGAGCTCTGCATGTCTGGATATGACGGAATGCTTTCCAGGTTTGCATGTTTGTAAAACAAACCCCTTCCTTGCCTGTTTGGAGAAAGTGTTAGAGAGTTTAGTTGAAACACCCCACCCAGGGAGCAGGTGTTTAATGTACTGGGAAAGTGTCAGGCAGGCTCCAGTGACTCACCCAGGCAGGTGACTCATTGCCCCTCGCTGAAGTCAGGGGAAGGACTGCAGTTAACTCACTGGTAGCTAGATTTAGGCCTAGTTGCATCTCAGTTTAAATTAAGTCCAGCCCGGCAACTCCGACTAAAATACGCATCACTTAAGTCGTTTGAGTAGCTTCACTGATTTAGTTTGCTAGTTGCATTAAGCTTAGGTTGTATACAGTCAGGCTTTTGGATCCAGCTGTGCAGGAGGAGAAGGCTACTTGCCCTATACTTGCTCTCAGCTGCTTGCTCCTGCCCTTTGCTGCCATATCTTCCCACCTTCTCCATGTCTTCTCACCAGACTGCTCATCTGAATTTTTGAGTCAAAGGGATGTATGTCAGCAAAGATGTACAACTTACACTGTTCAAACTAACATGGTTTATTCTGCCATTATATTTTGGAATCCTTGGATGAGTGGAGCTGAAAAGGCTGTAAATCTAGCAGGGGCATGATGAAAGCATAAGGCAGATCTTAAAGCAGTAAAGTCTTCTGCTGTTTGTTTACGATGCATCTCCCTGCATTAATTTAAGTTTATGTGGTGGGATTATGGTTAACCTTCCATCCAGGTTTGACTTGAGATGTGCTCACCATTTATGAATTTAAGTATATATATAATCTTTGCGTAAGAGGGTTTTGAGACTGTGAGCTATTTAGGCTGAGTAACATGCCACCTCATGTACCCACGCACCACTGAACACAACAGAGCATGGCATTTGTCTTGGGCCTCTGGATACTTATTTAAATCATTCAATGATAGGAGTACAGCGTGATGCAGTCTTTTCTAGAGACTGTACAGTTTCCAGCTTTGTGAATTGTTTCAGCTAAAGTAATGACTACTATTAGCGCTAGTGTCTGAAAAGTACACACTCCTATTGGGATTCCTCTGACCAGTTATAGAATTACCTGATAAACAACAGTTAACGATGTCAGTATGTTTTTTCTTTTTCACTGAAATAATGTCTGTGTACTCTTCTGTGTTTGCTGCTTTAAACAACTTCAGGATATGTACTAAAACCATACCGGTTATTTCTGTTTGGACTCATTCTGTATCTTCATCAAGTGATAAAGTTAACTAAGTACTATATTTATTTTGCTTGAAAGTTTATTTTTAAGTGGTGCATACTAACGTTTATGGCGTTACGGTAAGTTTGAAAGTCAAGACTACAGCCAGGCAGAGATATGAAACTTTGCTCTATTTAAAGCTACTTAGAACATATATTTTTCAGTTTCTCAAAGGAGCTTACGATGTGTTTCCTGTATGATAGTACTCTTTAACAATTCATAGCTCTCATATCAGGAGACTGCAAAAAACAAGCTTATTTTTCATGAAAATATTTTGGCTATGTTCTCAGTAGAATATACAGAATGTGTTCCTTCATTTCCTCCTCCAACTCTAAAATGATTGCCAGCTACAGGGCAAAGGCTTCCTTTTTCTGTAGCTGTGTACTTTGTACGTTATCACTGTTTCTCATAAGTTTTGTATAATGCAGTGTGGTATTTCAGAAATGATATGTGATCCTTCATGGAAGCCACCAAATTCTCACCTTTCAAGAATTCCTAAGCATTTATTTTAAGCAAAGATGCTTGAAAGAATGGCCATACTAACTGAAATAGTACCAAATGTTATTGGTCATGACATCTGTATCATTTCCAGTGTCCTAAGAAAAGTCTACGTTTATATCTCCCTCTTGCATTTCCCCTAAGAGAAAGCAGCACTGGTAATGAATAAAGAATGAAGAACATACAAATTTTAAAGGCTAGATTACTCCAGAGATGCTTTCTGTAAACTTTTTTAAGGAGGTTTTCAGAAGTGGAATGACTTCACACAAATGAGTTTTGAAGTGAAAAGATCGTATTAGAAGTAGTTGTGCGAAATATGAATGGCAAAGACTTTAAGAAGGCTGAGCCCTGAGCTGGTCATCTTCATACCAAGTCATAGCCAGTTGTGCTCCTGTGAAAGCTCATTCTGAATATCTCTGAACATTTGCTTTGCCACCATCTGACATTGGCTGAATTGATTTTCCACTTCTGTGTGAAGAAATTTGAACAGTGTTCTTACTTTCTTTTTTTTTTTTTCTTCTAAGTAAGAGATCTATGCAAACATAAGCTTTTCTTAAAGCTAGCCCAGCATGTTGTTGACTCAGAAATCTGCCCTTCTGTAAGACTGAATTAGGGCTCTTGAAATGCTCCTTCTAGTTATGATACCGTGGCTTAGCTACCCCTCCATTTTGTTAATTAGTTCCCCAGAAATGTCAGTGGAAGTACTCTGTGGCAGTCTTCACAGCTGATGGACTCCCAGAAATCCCGTGTCTACAGTCTTAATTTTTATAGTTTGGGTCTCTTTTAAAACAACCTAACTTAGGCTAACAATTAATAAAAACCCCCATAACAGCCTTTGGCATGTGTGGTGTGAAACTTCTGTCTTTCAATTAGTATCTCCAAGGGGATTCCTCAGATAATGTTTCCCCCACTCCCCCAACTCTGATAACATTTTTGACTGTGACCCTGAGCCAAATGTGTTTGCATCTCTCTCCTGGATGTCTCACTGCAGCTTGCAATAATGCAGAAGTCATGGAAGAAATTTCATTGGCTATCTTGTAATCTTTCTGGAAACCTTCCCCTGTTGCACCGTCACCAGAACCTTGACGCCGCTGGTGCTGGTGTAGATGGGTAACCAGCTGGCTTTTTGCTGTCTTCTTGACTCTACCAGACATGGTGGCAGAAGGGGATGTCTTTCTCGATAAATGTTTCTTTCTGCATAGGGGATGCCAAGTCTGCATAAGCATTCCCATTCTTGTTACTTCTTGGTGATTCGCCATAAAAAGAAAAATTCAAAATGAAGCAGTTAGTGGTTGATGGCTTGGGAAATAATGTCCTGTGGGCTAAGATGAGAGTCAGTTGTTCTTTATGAAGGATGTAGAGCCTTTGAGAATAGTTGCCTTGCTTTTTACAGGTTTCGCTGGTACTCCAGGATACCTTTCTCCAGAGGTGTTACGAAAAGATCCTTATGGAAAACCTGTGGATATGTGGGCATGTGGTAAGAAATTATTTATAAAGACGATGTTCAGTCCACTCTAAAGTATTTTGAGGGAAAGAGGTGATGTCCAGAATACATTATATTCTGCATCAGATAGTATTTTATAAAATGCAATATTAATTTTTAGAAGAGATCATTGGATTTTTTTGTTACTCTACCAGCTTAATTTTTTTTTTTTTAATTATTTGTAAATGTGTGTTATCATGGCGTTCTTGGCCATGTCTAAACAACACACCTAAACAAAGTATTAAAAAAATAGCTTTAGGCACACGGTGCCTAACTAGTTAGAAAACATAGCTTTTCATACTGTGACCTAGGCCTTAGTTTTGGTTCACAAGCAGCCTAAAATCTGATCTGACCAATATACTAGAACTGCAGTTTTAAACTGTGAAAATAAATGTTTTGTGAACTGGAGTACAGAGCAATTATTTTATCATCCAGTTCTTGAAAAAGTGTAGTTTAAGGTACTGGCAAGCGGCAGCTACTTAGCTGAGAACAATTGGTGGTTTCCTTATTTTACTTCTACCCACGCTTACTTGGTTGTATGCATGAAAGCACTTGTCTCCAGTGATAGTGAATCATCTCTGTAAGACTATCAGATGAACTTTTAAATTTCCTATTGACCATATATTTATACAGATAAATTGAATTGCCCAAATTTTCTTTGCATGAGATTGGTTAAAACGCAATCTTAGAGACACCAGTACAAGCCATGATAAAAACAGAGGTAAAAAATCCATTTTGCTAGAACATCCATGTTCATCGAAAATTATTTCTCCAGCTAGCTAGACATTTTCAATGTTTCCAATCTGATGTTGTATCAGATACTCATTATTGCCCACACTCTGCATAGGAGGTTATGTTTTGAACCCTACATTTACTATTTTTTCCAGTATGAATAGGCAGTATTTTTCAGTAGCCTGGATAATACTGTTGAGTCATTTGTTTTACATGGTTGTCAGGTGCGAAATTAATTTCTTGTGTTTTTGTTTTTTTTTTTTTTTTTTGAAATCACTTAATACTACTATGAATTTTCTCCAGGTGTCATTCTTTATATCCTCCTGGTGGGATATCCTCCTTTCTGGGATGAAGACCAGCACAGGCTTTACCAGCAGATAAAGGCTGGTGCTTATGATGTATGTACCATACTCTGTCTATTCAATTATTTATAATTGTACCTGTCAATAGGAGCTTTGTAGAGTGAAAAGTGAAATTAGAATTATTTTCTAAGTGTTTTTGGTATTGGTTGTCTTTATGAGTCACGCAATGTAGTAAATGTCACTTTAGCAACATGAACCTTATTGGGATGGGAACATGCTATGCAAATTTAAATCTAACTTCCCTATAGCTCCAAGCTTTCATTGCCTGGTCTTTGTATAAATCATGCAAACTTATGTTATTCCTGGCAAGCCTGTTCAGACCTCTGTGTACTCCCAAGGGCCTGTGTTTTTCCTCATGGTTTATCACTTCAACCGATCAGTTATCCTAAATTGATTTTAAGAAGTCTTAACTTCCTAAATATATACCTTGATGCTGTTGTATTGCCTTCTTTTGGAAATACAAGCTGCTGTAGAGCTTTTCAAAAGGAATAGTTTCATTAACTATCTGTATTCCAACAAAAAGCATTACAACTGTTGGTAAGTAAGAACTGATGATTTGGTGACATTGTGAATTTTGCAACATCATCCATTTATATTGTATTAAGCTGATAGAAGGCTGTTGGTCCTCAGATTTAAGTAATTTGTGACTGATGAAAAGACAGAACCTTGTATTTTTAAGCTCTGATTTGAATCCAGTCTGGACGGTGATGACTGAAAAGGGAGATGTTACGCTACGGCCTTTTAGTGAAAATAAACTTAAGGTCTGTCAGGTCTTCCTCCTAGTGAGCAATTAATCATACGGTGAAAAACAGGGTGACAGCAAGGAATAAATATTTCAGCCGAGAGGGCAAGAAATGAGGAAGTGCAGAGGCTGAACTATGCATCTGCATGGTACATACATGGTACATATTTATGACACTCTGTGCCTAGGTAATATCAAATTTCTGTTGTCTAAGAATAAATATTTTTAATACGGAAAACACAAAATCCTCAAGGTTAAGGTCTGTTCACAAAAGCAGCAGTTTAAGACATGGGATTTTTTTCATTCCATTTACATTTCAGCAGACACTTTGGGTGCATGTATAAATATTTATCTGAGCAGGGAGGTGTAAATTCATAACTGGTTAGATTTATATACCAAAACTATACAGTTAACGTTAAGATTTACATTGAGAAAAGAAACAAACAAGGAGTTTGAACAATAATAATAATAATGCTTAATATTTTTGTCTTTGTTAAAATTGAAACTAGGACTCTATTAAGTGCTGTATGACCATATGCCTCTCAGGTGACTTGAATTTGTTATTCTGTCTGCCATTGTTATTTTATGTTATGAATTTCAATTGGCATCATGTTGTTGTAAATATAGAAATACTGTGTACTTGAACCAAAATAAATAAAAGGCCAAAATAGTAAAGGAGAAAACCTTTATTTATAAAACTGGCTAATTTAAACTTTTCAAATTGTGGCAAACTGCATTTTTCCCCCTAAAACTGGTTAGTTGTGCTAGCAATTAATGTTACAGAAATAGCATCAATAAAAGTTCTTAGGTAAAATTGTGTAAAGATTGTACAAGATAATATACACATACGTATCTTCTTGTTAAGTTTCCCTCACCAGAATGGGATACGGTGACTCCTGAAGCAAAGGACCTTATCAATAAAATGCTTACCATCAACCCAGGAAAACGTATCACAGCATCAGAAGCACTAAAGCATCCATGGATCTGTGTAAGTAATTTCCACAGATTTAACAGGACAATTTGGCAGACAAATCAGCTTATGGTTGACTTCAGCATATAGTGAAGGCATTTAGAGGATAATTTTTGTCCTTACTCTTGTAACTAAGGGAGTGTAAAATTGTAATTATACAGATACAGTCAATAGTGTCGTATATTGAGGTCTCAGCCTGGGATAAGATTTTTGCAGAAATTAACTCCTTTGCCGTAACTTTGTGGTGCAGAAGTTCACTGCCAAATTATAGCATTATTTTAAATTCTCAGAGAAAAAAATGTACAAGAAGGTAACTTGGCGTTAGATAACGCTTTACATCTTCACTTCCCTATAACAATTAGGCTAATAAAAGTCAATTTGCAGGTGGCAGAGGCTGCCTGTTACTTGGATCCAAGACTACTTTCCAATTCTCAGTTCATTCTACACTTTGACTTTGCGGGCAGTCTGGGCTGATAGTTTGAAAGTCACAGCGAGGCATCTAGCTGGTTCCCAACTCTTTATTCATTCCAAGAGGCTGCATTATCTTGCCTTTAACACTGTGATGCAAATAAGGTTGAGTTACAGGGAAAATGCAGGTACTGCTGAATTTTTTCTGAAATACTTCCTGCTGCTGTACCTCTCCCAATATCACTGATGCTTAAGAAAAGTTTCCTTTGTGTTTTAAAACATATTTTCCAAAATCATATTTCAATATATTACCTTGGTTATGTTTGTACTTGTCGTGGTTTGGGCCTGGTTGGCAGCCAACCACAATGCAGCAGCTCTTCTCCCTTCCCCTCCGGCAATGAGAAGGGACAGAGAGCCAGGCTTGGGGTTCAAGACAGGACTGGGATGGGGAAAAATTTCCCCTTTATGATCATGAGCAAGAGGCAGACTCGTTAGGGAAAGAAAAAAAAGCATACATTTATTACAGACACTAACAACACATAACAGAGTAGGACAGTGAGAAGCGTTGCCACATCTTGAGAACACCTTCCCCCCACCCCTCCCTTCTTCCCGGGCTCAGCTCTGCTCCCAATATCTCTACCTCCTCCCCCAGCGGCGCAGGGGCAGGGAATGGGGGGTGCAGTCAGCGCTGCCACTTCCCTTATCTTCGGTGAGGGGAGTGTCAGGAACTTGTTCCTCCTGCTCCATCATGGTCCCCCTCTCACAGCAGACAGTCCTCCACAAACTTTCTCCGACTTGAATTCCTCCCACGGGCCGCAGCGTTCCCCACACTGCTCCGTCATGGGACACCAACTTTTCCCAACTGGATTCTCTCCCACGGCTGCAGCCCTTCCCGAGCTGCTCCGGCGTGGGACACCCCCGCATGCTGCAATCCTCCCAGCACTGAATTACAGCAGCGGGGCTGCCTTTTCCCATGAGACCCCGGCCTCCTTAGGGCACAGCACCTTGATCAATCAAGCAGGAGCAACAGGCCATAAATCAGTGTCTGCTCCACCGTAGATCTCCATGGGTGGCAGGGGGGGCCGCCCTGCCGTCTCCCCACAGGATACAGGGGGGTCTCTGCTCCTGCACAGCTCCCCCCTCCTTTCTTCCTCCGTTCCTCCACTGACCTTGGTGTTCATGCAGCTGCAGCAACTCCTCCTCACCAGTCCCACTGCTCCTCCCCACGTCCCTTCTTAAATACATTCTGGCAGAGGTGCAGCCGAGTGGCTCAGTTTTGGTGCAGAGGTGGAGCTGACTTGGAGCTGGGGGAGCTTCGATAATCTTCTCACAGGGGACCGCCCCGATAGCCCCCTCCCCTGCCACCAAAAAACCCCACCACTCACTCAACCCAGGACAGTACTGTAACCCAAACTCTAAGATGCTGTGGTTTTTTTAGTCCCTAATTCTTTCAAGAGGACTTTACACATGGAAAAGGCTGAGTAGAATTAGACTTTGGTTTTGTTGATTTGGAAATTTCCCCAATGTGTAGAAATCTGCACAAAGGGATAGTCAGAGAGGGTAGAAATTAAAGACCTAAGTTTTGGACCCTGTGTGTTGTAATATGTATGTTGTAGAGTAAGTAAAATGCTAGACGTCCGGCTGGGCTGGGTGCATTAAAATGATTCTTTTCTTCTTCTCTTAGCAACGTTCTACTGTTGCCTCTATGATGCACAGACAAGAGACTGTAGATTGCTTGAAGAAATTCAATGCAAGAAGAAAACTAAAGGTAAGAACGAAAACTTCTGCAAGGATGAGCAGCTAATTTTGGAAAGAGGAAAGAATGTTGGCTTGTGTAAAGCAAATGGTCCCTAAGCAAATTTTTTCTTTAATATTATGCTTAAATGAACTGTTTGATAGATGATGAGCTTTAGGCCTGAGGATCTTCAACTTTTCATGAAAGTGAATAGAACATAGCATACTTTTGTTGGATTCAAAATAATAGCAATCTTCTTCGTTTATACACATCAAATATATTTTGTTGAAGGTTATTCTTTTAGATTATCCTTTGTTTTCTCCTGACCAGACAGGATAACTGTACAGATGTGAACTTTTCTAATTAGCACATTACAAACAAACTCCTCTTCCTACCTAAAAAAGAATCTAAGCACGTTAGTAACGTCTGTTTCATATTCAGCTATGTATTTTGCTGATAATTACTGTGCCTGTGAGTACTCATGGTTTGTGCGTTATGTACTCACCATTGGTAAATATTTGAGATTATCAGGATTGCTGATAGGTGTGTAATTAAGATTAAATTACAATTTATGCACACATGGCGTCAGGTATGATAGGTAATGCACAGGCAATCCATTCTTTCAGCGTTAATTTAGTAATTGATGTCATTTACGTGTGTTTTCCTTTTTGTTGTGTTGCGTTCATATTCAGAATTTTACACAAGTGTGATGCTAATTTGAGAAAATGTATGTGTACACAGGGGGCCATTTTGACAACTATGCTGGCTACCAGAAATTTCTCAGGTATGTTCATTGAGCTCCAGATTAATATGGTCTTGATGTCTGTGATGACTACGATCTAATTAGAATTCATTAGTAGAAAAAGATCTTTGTTATTTAGGAACATCTAAATATGATATATCTTAAGTTGTTTCCTTTGCAGAAGCAAACGAGAATTTAAACTAATTGGGCCAAATAGAATCCCTTGTGGATGTCAGTTAATCTAATTTTTCAGTAGAATGTGAGTTCCTTCTCTTTACTTTTTTAGTGTTGTCTGTGAAAAGACAGAGTGTTTTACTGTCTGTTTTGGTGAGGGAAAATTGTAAATAATGCATAGTTCCACATGCAGAAGTATCACCAAACAACATCTAAAAACTTACTTTTTTATGTAGCTGAAATGCCATTCCAGGATTCTGTTGCATCCTGTATTTTAATAAAAAAAATAAAAAATAAAAAATAAATATTTATATATATATGTATATAAACATTCATTCTTCATTGCTTTGCTAAGGAGTAAGAAACATAGTAAAATGAGTCCTCCTTTTCCTTCTCTTCTAATGCCGAGCTTGATATAACAAGAGATGTTTCTTCTTTATGGAATAATTCTGTAGTGATATCCCTGGAGATTTGGATCTTTATATTAAACCAATTTTAATAGCAAAAGCTCAAATAAGCTTGCTCTTAGTACAGTTAGATTTGTCCTCAATAGTAGTATTGCCAAAATTTTGATGCTATGCTGAATTGTTCATTTTGCCATTTGAGATTTCAAGTGAATAGTGGAAAACAATGCCAGATTTAAAAATCAGTAATTTTAGATATATGCCTAGTCTGTGTTATAACTGTTGGAGTGTAAGATAAGTCAATTTACGGATAAAAACATGATAGTGCCTTGGGCATGTTTTGAATAATAATAAGCACTGAATCATCCAGAATAAATTACATAATCATGAATGCAAGAACAACTTGTTCAATTTGCATAGTACTTGAAATACAATTTCTTTCTTAGTTAAGTTCCTATATTTAATACACACCTGTAACACAGAAGTCTACATTTATGTAAATTACATTGAGTTAATGCTTAATGAATTGCCAGTATCTGCCAATTCATTTTAAAGGTTGGAATGCTGTAGGCTGCATATTTTGTAAAAATGAATTATTAATAAATACCAAACAAATATATCATTTCTCATCACTTTTCATAACTGTCACTATCTATACATGTGAGGGTCAATTTCAACATTTGTGAACCAAAAAAAGCTGAAGTAATTTTAAAACAGTATTTCAGCATCAGAAGCAAACAGGGTTCTTTCGGCTTTGTTTTGGATTTTTTTTCACCTGTCATCCATGTTTCACACCATAATGACCCATATTTTTCACTGATGACATTTTATGTTTTTCAAATGGTCTATTCATTGTATTTCATTGCAAAGCATGCTTTTGAAGGTCATTTGTCCATAACGATGTGGTTATAAAAGTGTTTTATTTTCCTTTTTCTTTCTTCCTTTTATGTGGAATGTATATTTCTTGTGAGGTAAGACCCTCAGCACGTGAAAGGAACATCTTTTTTCTCTTCTAAATCAAAATTGCTGTTTGTCCTAAATCACTTTAATTTCTACATGTTGTCACAACACCATTCCTTTTCAATCTGCTTTCTGGCGTATTAGTGCTGCCTTAGGTTTTATTTATAGCTGTTGCTTGTAGTTGCAAGAAATCTTTCATTGTGGGCTTGATTTAGAATATGCTAATTGCTTTGCTACTGCAAATTCTTTAAATACTTGATTTGTATGCAGTATCTGTGCTTAAAGAAAGATGCATCAAAATATTATTAAAAATACATTCCAAGCCAAAACCAACAAAGGCAGTTGAGTATGGAATAAGTTCTATAACATAAAATACTGCATAATAATCCATATACATAGACACGTTTCAAAGGACACGCTGGCAGTGCCATAAACACAATACTTGCAGTTATTGCTTTTGGTGCCCTCATTTTTTACTGGCTTTCATTTAATTGTTTACATATAACATGTAATGTCTGTTAAGCAATGAAGGAACTCAGAAGTTTTATGCACAAATTTAACAAAAGGACCTAGTTTGTTATGAACAGCAGCCTATAAGAATTAATTTATGGTTTTCTATATTTTTTAAGTCTTAATGGTGTAAAACAGGCTTTGAAAGCAATGAACTTCTGGGTTTTTTGGCCTTAGATTTTAGAAATAGCTCCTCCCCTTCGCTTTCCCTAAACGAGTTTCTGATTAATGGAGTGCCCACAGTATTTGTGGTAGTGTAAAATCTAAGGCCATGTTGCATCCGTGCTGTTAGCACACATGGCAACAGGATATATCCTATCTCAAAAATATATGTAAACCATTTTATTTGCAATATTAATTTACATGTTTCTGTAAATAAATACATGCAATGGTTCTGTTGCATAACACAGTCAAATTTATTTTTGTTCGTTTTAGTTGTAAGTCATGGGCTTTGTGACAGTTTTAATGGTAGTGTTGGCTTATGTCCATAATTAAACTGCATTTGGAGGGCTGATATAGTAATGAAATTATAAACAGTAACCTGGCTTCACTTTCCAGGGTTTTTTTAATGTAAACAACACAGTAATGGACGTTAGTTATTTCTGTACAGTTCCCGAGATGATATCTTACATTTTCTATACTCTGAACCAGAGCTAAATGAGCACTTAATGCAGATGTAGCTAGAGAATAAGCCACAAATACAAAAATTAACCTCCAGTTTAGACTACATACTCAGTAACTCCAATATCCGCAGCTAGTTTCAGCAACCTTAGGCTTGCAAGGTTTAATTGCGTTCTTTTGTTTGTTTATTTTAAAGAGAAAGATGCCGGTAATAATGGGAGCTCCGTGTCGGGACTGTCTCCCTTCGATTATGCCAGAGTGTTAGCTGCAGCATTTCCCTTTCAAAAAGGCTTCCTGCTTCTAAGCAAAGCAGCGTACATAGAACAGCACTTTCTTACAACCTAAGCCATGGTACACTTTCTGATAGGAAGATTGGGTCATAAACAACAATAAAAACAAAACATGCCAGGCTCGTTTTGCAATACATTATTCTTCAGGTCTTTGCCAGTGTGTCATGAAGCACTGACGCTTTAGTGAATAGTTCATTTGGATTTAGTAGGTCACCCAGCATGTGTTTCTGCTGTAAATGTTTTCAGGTTCAGAGCTGCCATGTGCTTCTTTGCACATTAGCCCTCCAAATTTAGTAATTTGGAATGATTAGGCCCCGCTCTTGGTGCCAGTTTTAAGTGATGGAATTTAAAGCCCAACACGTGGATAACGTTATGGCAAGTGAAGTTTTGCCCAGTAGTCCCCACCACCTTGAAGAAATTTGCTCAATGTGCAAGATGATTCAGAAAATGACAGGTTTTCTTCAATGGAAGTTGAAGCAAAGCCTGCCATTTGTTATTATTAACTCCTAGAAAGCACTCCTCCAAAACAGCACTTTGCTAGCAGATTGTTCTTCCTTTCTTATTTGCAACTTCCTTGACCTTTCACGCAAGGTGACTGATGCTGTCGTGGTGGGAAATCCCCAAAGAACCATTGCGCAGAGGCGCTTTTTTAAAACCCAGTTTACTTTTCATTAGATGGAATAGATAGTATTGTATCACACTGTGCTCTCTAGGTACCTTATTGATCTGACACTGGTTACTCTTCTGTCACTGTCATATTAATAACATCATTAAGATACCAGCAGGCTCTACAACAACCTGGTTAAAGTCCCTGCCATCAGAACGGTACTTTTTCGTAGTCATACCAAACTATCCCCACCAACAATTGTAAACATATGGCAGTTGAAAAAATTGATGTATCCAAAGCTGCTGCTTTTACACTCACGCTGCTTCCATTTCCTCTATGGCACGCAAGGAGCTCTCTCCTTGTATGAGTGCAGTTAACCTACAGCTTTATTCAATGGAAAAAGAGTTGTATGATAATCTTAAGTATTTGTGGTTTCTTCAGTATTTAGTTTCCTATACTCAGAGCAACAAAAGGAGGAAATAAAAGCTGAAAACGTATCTGCAGCTGGGAGGCAGTGGGGGTTTGCTGTGCAGCTGGTTGACCTCAGTGGGAACCACTTGACACTGAAATTATTTGTCTCATTTTACAGCAGCCAAGAGTTTACTGAAAAAGCCGGATGGAGTTAAGGTAGGTTAAACATATGCTTTAAAGTATATTTTATTAGTCATCACCTATCTGTAACTTCTGCCAGTTCTTAGAATTGATTATTGTTATTTTTTTCTGCTATAGAATTCATTAAGAAATGTTTCTTACCATATATTTCAAGTGATTAAAGTTAGTAGGTGAAGCTTAAAAAATGGAATAAAAGAAATACTTGAAAAACAAGCATTTTAAGAAGTGGAAGATAGAAAACTACTGGAGAAAATGTTTTTCTTGCTATTTTATGGAGGATGATTGTGTAATTAATGACTCAGTGTTATCAATTAGCTTATAATTAAAGGTTTGGTAGTGGGCCTGTTAACTTTTTAGGTATCAGTGTTTATCTGCAGCTCTACTGCCTCCGTGTTTTCCCTTGACTATTGATTAGATTTCATGGAAGACCAAAAGTTTACTGGTAGGCTTGGCTCTACATGAAGTGTATTCTGCCAGATGTACTTGCTATATTTGGCAGAACTTGAGGGGTTTGCTACTTCAACAAATCAGCTCATCCTGACTAATAGACCTTGCTAAGAAGGGAACATTTTGGCAGCTTTCATACATGATTTAGAGTTCCTATTCTCATGTCACCAGATCCTGCAGGAGGAGAGATGCTTCACAAATGAACGTTCTGGATAAATTCTTTGAAAAACAGTCAGAAAAAAAATACTCAGCAATGAAAAATATTTTATTTCTTTTCTTGGAGGACTCTTGAAGACTAAAATAAGTGCCTCAAGCTTTCATTATGCAATTCAAAAGATATTCTTCTGTGCTCTTTGTTTTTACTCAGAAGGGTGTCTTTGACCTGAATTTTAAGTTTCTATTTAATCTTAACTTTTTACTTTAACAAAACATTTTATACTTAAATACGAGATTCATGGTGTATTTGTTCCTATTCTCTCACATATGCACAGTTTTCCTGTCAAAAGAATCATGAGACTGACTTAAAATTGAGTGAGTACACTACGATTCCAGTGCTTCTCACTAACAAGTAGTAGATATCCTAGTTACATGGAGAAGCACACATTGAGTACTATTCTGTCATTCCTGTGGAAAACCCTTTTTCATTGTGGAATATATAAATTTTATGTACTCTATCTGACCAGATTTTCCTTTTTAAATATCATTCCTCCTACAGGTCTACAATGGTATTTGTTATATCTCAATTTTGATTATAATATTGGATACAACTGTTGCCAAAATTTTGCCTAAATTACACTTGTTGGGATTTGATACTTGGTTTTCAACACATTTTATGTGTCTGCTGTTTGTCTGCATGGTCATGTGGGGCAAAGGGAGTAAATTTACATCTGGGGAAGTCTATTTTTGTCATTTCTGTAATTGGGATACTATATACTTCGTAGCATTTTTCCACCCCTTCCTACAGCTTAAGCTGTCTTTTTCTTAATTAAAAAAAAAGAAAAAAAAAAAAAAGCCAAAACAGAAATATACTGTACTCCATGCATTGATACTTCAAATCCAACCAGTCACATTTTCTTCTTTTCCTTTCTCTCTGACTGGTCATATCAGAAAAGGAAGTCCAGTTCGAGTGTTCAGATGATGGTGAGGATCTTTATCGACAGATTTTTTTCCTCCTGTGAAACGTTCACACTTAGAAATCAAACAGTTGCTTTTAATTTTGTTAACATACCGTGAGAAGCTGCAAGACTTTAAAGTACAACCTTGTGAATTTTAAGCCTGCAGTTGCTATATGCCATCCACAGTGAATTGTTCTGCAGTTCTTTCAAGCAAGTTTTTTTATTTTTTTTAACCTGGGGACATGTGAAAACATGAAAGTAGATGTAACATTGGCCAATGAAGCTGTCCTTAGTAAATAAAAATAGTAACAAAATAGTAATCTTATAACAGCCTTCTATTAATTTTTAAAACCTCCTTATTTTAAAAGCTAATAGCATTAATATCATAAAATGTAACACAAACCACATTGCACAGTGAAATAGTATCGCTTGAACAGAGCCACTGCAGAGCAAGATGCCATGCTCAATGCTCAGGAATTAAAAAAAAAAAAAGGTTTCACAGCCTTTCCATACTAGTTTCCCAGCTAAATTCCTGCACAGCTCAGGGCTTTGTCGCAAGATGTCCCAACTGACAGTCAGTCTCAATAACTTTTCTTCCTCCTCAACCTACTCTACAGTTGTACGTTCGCTTGGCCTCTGTGATCCCACACAACGACTTACTTTATTCCTGTTTATTACGGTTTTGAATCTGACTTCTGAGATGTTCATGATCATCAGCTGTGATGTCCCATCCAGCTTCTGCTGCTGCCGGTAGAGAGAATGCAAATATCCCTCATCCACCCCTTTCACTGGGAAGTACAACTCTCCTTGAAAAGCAAAATTGCTGGTCAGGTCTGCGCAGCCGTGTAGTTACATCGGTAAATAGCCTGTTCTTTGGATGAACGTAGAATATCAGTGACAGGGGATCAGTGGTACCAGTGTCCAAATGAGGGTCACCGGAAAGGTCCGAGGTGTGGGGGCATATTTCTAGTATCCCAAATGTGAAGTGTGCTTTAAATTTTTTGTTATGGAAGTACCATGTGAAAGATAAAGTCCCGAGATACGGGGTTTGTTTCTTAAAATATTTTTATAATATATTGAAAAAAGATTGTACAGTCATGCCCAACTGTTTGGAGCGTTTATGTGTGTCTGTCCTGCGCTACTGTCAGACCTACCAGAGTGGCTTTTGACAAGTGATGAGTTAGTATAAAAGTTTTCCTTCTTTGCAACAAGTAGAAGGTCACCCCTTAAGCACAATTCAACTTTAGAATAACCATTTCATATGAAACTGGCTTGCTCCTTTTGGATTCATTTCCCTTTGCTGTTAAAAATATATGCAAAATACACCATGTGTGTTCATATATTAATAAAAGCACATGTATATGTTCTATGAGAGAGAAAGTGTACAGGCTTATTGCTTATTGCTTTTTTTCTCTCGAAGTTTCAAAGGGTTTTACCAACTGTATCTTGAATTACATAATTTCTTTCTGCTTTTACTAATGAATGCTGTATTCTCGATATCTTACTAAGAAGTTTTGAATATATTTCCTGCAGTTTTCAGCAGTAGCTGTAATAGATATGGTTTATTTTTATAAGACTTTCACCAAGGGAGTATGGACCCAAGCCTGCTCTCCTTACTCAGGCAAAATTGGAGTTGAAATTTGATTAACCTGTTTTCGTTATGTATTTAACAAGAAGCATTTGTTTGGCATACCACTTTATTTTTTGTATTAAGCTACTACTGAACGGGACTGTATGAAATCTGGTGAAATCTTAATTTCTTTCCTCATGTTTTTGCTTTACGTTTATCTGCCTTTTGTTAGGGCCTTTTTATTTGTAGTCTCTTGATGACTACACTGTCGTAAAAATATGAACTTGTAGTTATACAACTCAATATGTGATTTTTCTCTTGTTTTGAAAGATTTAGTATGCCATCAAGCAGTATTGTGTGTGTTCTCACTATTCCGCAATTCACCTGTAGAACTTTTATTTACTGAGGTGGTTGGGGTTTTTTTAAAGGTTTTTCCTGAGTAAGGAGTTCAGGTTTTATCCATCTCACAGACCCATAAATATCAAAGCCAGTTAGATGCTATATAAAATACTTGCTAATACTTATGTCTCCCCATGAATGACTTTATGCAGAAAGGTATTTATTCTCTCCCTGTCTTGAGTTCAGACACCCCTGCAACTTACGGCTGTAATTATGAAGAGATAAATGAAATTTATTTGGCAATAACTAGGCCAAGTTGGAGCATAAACTAAATACTTGGAACTCAATAATGACTCGTATTTTCTCTTAACGACAATTTCTGTAGAAAGACCATTGTTAAAAAAATAACTGTTTCTCATCCTCCTGTGGTAGAGCACTGTGAACTTTGATTTTAAATCAAAGAAAATTATTCTATACTGGAGAGTGATTCCTATCACAAATATTACTAAATAACATTTAGTGTTGAAACAGTGTTCCCTGACATTAACTAATGAGGCTGCTTTATATTCTTCAAAGCCAGTTAAATGTTGGTTAAGGTAAGGAAATTTGCAGTCTGTAATTAATTAATGCAAATCCTGTTGACATTTTCATAATCTAGACATACCCTAAATAAGATTCAATTCACCTGCAGGCTTAATTCCTGCAATCAGCAAGTCAGCTGCCACACCTGTACCAAAGTAAAATACTCTTCAAAAAATTGCTGAGGGAGGACACGAATTTTGGTGAATATCCGCAGTGGTGCTAACTTCTGAAGGCTCAAATTTAGGAAATCCCTCAGCACAGACAGTACTTAAATGTTAGCCTGCATGCTGAGAAGTGGAGTACTTCATCTGAGACTCCAGAGTCATCAGGAAGTTTAAATCAGAAGTCAGATGTTTCGTATGCAGCTCAGTTTGGTTCACTATTCTAGGACTTCCTCTTTCTTTATGCTTTTTCATACATGTTACTGAGCATATCAGCATTTTGTGATTGGTTTAGAAGGGGTTTTCTTTTAGAAGAAAAAATAGCAAATTATGACCCCCAAATTGCTAGAGTTTGTTTCTTTAAATGAAGAAGTTAAATACATTTTTACAAAAATCCATTAACAAAAAAAATTTGGACTTTTCCTTTGCTTTGCACATTTGTTATTAAGTACTGTCACTAGAAGGTTCAGTAGAACTTTTTTTATTTTGGATCACAGTCTTTCCAGACAGTATATATCTATACCCCCAGTTCTGCATGCCGCTTTGGACTGCTCTTGTTAAAATTAGACATGACCAAAATGTACGTAATATTTTTTTCTTAATTATTAAAGAAAAAAATTACATATTTCAAACTAGTTTGACAATACTTTAATCTTGCTTCTTAGTGCATGTAAAAAATGGCTTGGTACATTATTTTTAATATTTCTGTTATTTTCATACCACGTGATTTATGAAAGCTGAATCTTAAAAATGGATTTAAAGAATCAAATACCTTTAAACTTACTGCTAAACAGTTAAATTTGAATTAAATTTTTGCATAAGTAAAAACCCTAAAGTCTTGTAAAGTTATAGTACTGTGCTAAGCTTAAGAATGAACATGCTGACTGGTATGTACTGATTTGTGGAGTAAGACTATAGTGTATACTGTAGTGTGAAACCTTACACTTTCAGGATATAGTACCAAAATTGAAAGACTGATACATAGTAACTGCAGGTTTCTCAAGACTGCAAAAAATCAGAGCTGCCAATTATTTTTGTGTAAATAACACCAAAAAAGCTAAAAGGGCACCAGTCTCTTTCTAGCATCAGTTGTACTTACTCAGATCTGGAATCGGTTATAGTCATTCAGATCTGTTCCCAGAAGCCAGCAGAATAAATCTGTGGATTTCTGGAGAGCTATGAATAAGCAGATACTATTTATGGTAGCGATAGGTAGCTAGAACAACTGGGTGAAGTTATTTAACAGTGTGGCACGTCAAGAAATCGCAAGGTCTATTTAGGACTTCCCTCGAACACGTAACAATTCTTTATGCTTCTTATATGTGATTAGCTGCTACTTAAAGATGCTCTGTTCTTTTAAGTGTCACAGCTGAAGTCATCTATACCTTATATAGGCCTTCGTGTAGTGCATCTGAAAACCCATAGCTAGCATGTTGGGAGGAGTTGCAGCTAGCTATCGGATCTGTTGTTAGTGTTCTTTCAAGTTCATAAGTTCATCTTTCTGTGATTCTTTATTTCCATATCTATATCTATATATTGATATCTATATCTGTATATAGATGTTCTATACAGTGAGATATAGATACGGTGCCTACCATGAGTTCTAAGGCCTGTCTGTTTCTATTTTCTGCATACCTACAGATAAACAACAAAACGAACGTGGTAACCAGCCCCAAGGAAAATATTCCTACCCCGGCGCTGGTATACCTGGAATCTTCCTTCTCATGCTATCTCAAAGTTTTTGACTGTCTTCTGTTTGTTCTTCCTTCTTTTTTGCTTTTTCATGCATTTACTCTGTTTGCTTTCTAAAAGCAGGTTTTGGAAAAACTTTTTGTTTGACTTATGCTTTATTTTTTTTGTGAGGAAGTCCGTTAGAGCGTGTTTATTAATAGAAAATTTTACATGGAAGCTGGATGCGGTGGAGTCATAGCATTTGTAACTGTAGTTGAGTCTTTTGCATGCTGTGCCAGAAAGTGAGTAGAATGCGCTTTATGTTGCTCTTAGCTCTTTGCCTGATGACTGTTTCCGTCTTCTTAATGCTAAACTTCTGCACCAAAAAAAAAAAAAAAAAAGGCAAGCTATTATTTTCTCTGCTTTGTCTTAGTATAAGTATTGATATCAAGGAGAGCTAACAGGATTATTGCTAGGCTACCATAAAATAGACCTTATTCAGATTTTCATTCCGTATTTCCTAAAACTCAGCAGGACTTTGCAAGTCTTCACTGGGATCAAGAGGCATCTAGTGCTAAGCATTTTTGCTTGTTCCTCTTACATTTAAATCTGCATCAGGCATTACTCATTAATAAGCTCTGTTAGGAACACATTACTAATCAGAGTGCTGTTCACAAATGTTTCTATTGCAATCTTGCTTTTATTAGTAGCTCCTATTTCTTAGGCATACATATATGACAGGGGTCACAAAGATGAATGCCAGTGTGTAAGTACCTGATTTTGTCAGGTATTGTTTCCCGTATGCTTGCATACATAGCTTTGAAAATGTGGATAATTCACACACATGGGGAGAGATTTTCCATCTTTAATTTTTTTTGTGCAACTGGCACTGAACCATACATTGCCACGTAATTTCGAAGGACCAGTTAACAGGTTTCATGCATGAGTATATGGCAGTCTGTTCCCAGACATAGCCATGCACAATAGTCCATGCTGACGGTATGCTGGCTCTCTGCCATTTCAAAGCTTATTTAACCTTTTTTAAGGGAAAAGGATGTGGGGAAATTGCACTTTAAAATGACACAAAGATCTCTCTCGCTTATTTTTATGCTGCTCTGTCAGGACAGCAATTGGTAGTAATCTGCATCTTCCAAAACAGGCTAGTATTTAGAGGTAGTTAACTCATCCTTAATCTTTATTGATTCATCTATATTTTTATTTGATCACTTAATACTAATACAAGCAAACATGCTGAAAGGGAAGAGATGATTTCTGGCCTTCTTGTCTGGCCTGGCTCGGACAGGAAAACACGTAGAGCATTTAGTATGCCCTTGTGCAAAAGAGAGCCTCTGCAGGTCTCCAGAGCTTCAAAGCCCTGTACACACTCGTCATGAATAAGGTCTCTGCATGCTTCTGCATTAGGTGAGATGGTCTTTTTTGCTGGCTTGCTGTTGAGGAAATCTGTATTCGAGACATCCAGTTTCACCCTCTGGCAACAGTTAACGTTTGTTTTGGCTCTTGTCAGTGTTGGGCATTTGTGAGCTGGCTCTTCTTGCACTCCCTCACACTAATGAGAATGTATTTACCAATGGGAACTCTTTTTCTCTTTATTTTGTTCTCGCTCAGGAGCCCCAAACTACAGTAATCCACAACCCTGATGGAAATAAGGTATTCAGAAAGAATCAGCTCCATTTTGCTTTTCCACACATTTCATCCACTATTCCACAGTGAGATAGGGCCATTCCAGGAATTTATCAAGGAAGATCTCATTCCTACATTTGTTACACCTGGTGTCTCTTGAGCCTGTTTTCATCTGTGTTCATCTGCTCCGTGTGTCCTGCTGACGGCTGAGCTTCCAAAGCTCTTGGTGGAGTCGGTAGCAATTGGCCAAGTTCAGCACCCTGGGCAGCCAGGCTGGGGGAGCGTGGGGTCTCTCGTTTCAGCCAAAAACGCTGCAGTCTAAGTAAAACCAAAGAACGCTGTTCTCAGAGTGTGGTGAGATTATACTGAAGGGTTCTATGTGCGGTTGTCGCCTTAGATAAAGATGTCATTTCAGTTTATCCCATCTACTTTTTCTTGGCATGCATATACACCATGTTGTGATGTGTCTTTTGCACAGGACTTTGTTTTTTTCCATAACATCACCGAGCAGTTTCAAAAAAATGTTAACATTTAAAATTACAAAGCGGCCTTTTGATTTTTTTTTACATGTTTTCTTCATGATCTTTTCTTTTTCTTGTGTATTGTGATGTTTGCATTTGGCAGCTGATTCCTAAAACATGTTTTGTTTTATTTTTTTCATGCATGAACTTGAAAAGGGCCAGGAAATACCATCATTTACATATAACGCATGTTCCTAGGTTCCCTGGAAAGAATTTACTCTTCAACAAAAATTTCACTGTTTACATTGTTGACTTAAAGAATTGACATTTCATTTATCTAGTCTTAACTACTTGTGGTAATTTCATATGAGAAGGATTGAATCTGAGTGCAAAAATAACGCATGCAGACATTTCTCAAGTATGAAAGTGCTGATGGTGTGTATTACGCTTGTATATCCCATTCCTTTATGTACCTTGCATCTGTCAAACGTAGAGCTTTTATTTTCATGTTACTACTTTTTCAGCTCCCCAAGTTTAAACTCATAGGCAACAAACAGCCTGTGTTTGAACAGTAGTCTAATCTCTATCGCTGAAGTCCACTAAAGACCAGAAAACCTAGATAAAATATTGGCGTGACTACATCTACTTGATTTTATTATGTAATCATAGCAATTAAGATACTCAATGTCCCAAAAGGTCACATCAAACAAGCAAACCACTCAATGCGGAGAGTTACTCCTAAATTTGTCTGAAAGACTGATTGTTGTAGTATGGCAACTGGAGTGGATGCTTCAGTATTACAGGCTACATCTGCCGTGTGAGCTTGTGCATGGTGTTTACAACTTGTATTTGTGTGGGGTTTTTGTTTACTTATAAGTACTTTATCTAATATTTTAAGTGATAGAGCATGACACGTCTGTGTAGACTGAAGCGTCTTAACGCCAGCCAGTTCAGGAAAAGCATGGTGACCTGTTCAGTTTTGTTTGTGTGTGAACTAATTCATGTAGTTTTATTTATGGATAGACATACATTTTGGGTTTGGTTTTTTTTGTTTTTTTTTTTTTTTAAGGTCTGAGTAATGCATTAATTGTTTTGAACATTCCTTCAGCTCAGCCTTGTGAGGACACAGTAAATAAAGGGCACTGTCAAATTTTTCTTTCACTATTTCATTGCAAAATCCTTTTAAGAGTTGAATACAATACCAGTCCTATGTTCTATCTCTCAGATAAAAATAGACCAGTTAATCCTTTTTGCTATTGAGCTATGAATTAGAAAAAAGAAATTATATTGATCCTACTTTTGAAGAAAGTATACAGATAAAAAAAAAAATGTTGAAAAACTTTCCAGCTTTCTAAAACTGTGTACCTGTTAGATTTGATAGTGCCCTGTTGAATTTGCCTGTAATATTTAACGTTTCTGGTAATTCATGAAAGACTGAGATACAGTATCCTTGCCTTTTTAACAGTGTGGTGGCTTAAGTATAAACTGTCTGATGAGTCATTCCTCAGCATGAGTGGTTGCTTGAAGAATACTACTACAAAGATACCTTAGTTTGTCAAAGTTGTTATCATATATTTGTCAATTCTCCGTGTCATTCAAAAAAGACTTTTATCACAAAAACAGTATAAAAATGACAGAATCTGATCCAATATCCTTAAAATCACTGGGATACTTTGTTTTAATATACATTGCATAAGTCCCATGAGCGGAAAAACAGTTGTAAATTGTAACATGCAGAAGTCTGCGTATTTAAATGATGGAATGGAATGACTTATTTTGCACAGTTGGTTTAATCACTAAGCTTAAAATGGCAAGCTCTCCTACTTGGCTGAGGTAATTCATATAACATTTCAGATGGACTTTGTGCATTCGGTTGTTAAAGAAAAAAAGTTTACATTCCTGTGAAGTAAAAGCATTAGATAGCAGGAAATGTATTTATGTTCCCTCCTGCAGAGAATGACAATGTTTGACATCAGTTTCAGGTGGAAATGTCTTAATCAGTGTGTGACCATTTGTTTGTGAATTACATCCCACCCTGCTTCAAGGCTTTGCATGATATCTGTAACTAACTGTAATTTTCAAAGGCATGCAAATAAGGCTTGGCTTGTTTTATACATTATACTTATACTTACTTCTCAACAGGAATCAACAGAGAGTTCCAATACAACCATCGAAGATGAGGATGTGAAAGGTATGACTTTAAGCTTGAAACATTTGGAGAAACAATAAAATGAGTTATGTGAATGCATTTCATTAGGTCATTAAGCACGGAAACTCGTAATGAATCTTAAGAGAGAATACGATTTTCCCTTGTTTAAAAGAAATTACTTTTATGCTCTTCTGTGTTACTTCTGACATGTTTCAGACTTACCTTTGATCTTTCATTTCCCAAAACACCATTCGCCATGATGTTTTGGGATGAAGAGTAGAAAGTTACCGCTTATTAACTAAGATACTAGTTCCAGTAATAATAGTAGATTAAAAATGTGTAAGTCAGTGCTTTGTAACTCTTACTTTGTTTATGTACTTTTAGCATGTGTTTGTGTTTTGGGTTTGCTTTTTTTCTTTTTAGTCACCATTTTAATTTTTATTCTGTTCAGATGCCAGTGGTTTTTCATGTTTCTCTTTTGTTCTGTCCATACACTTATTTTAATCTTCTTTTATTCTTTAAAAAAATAAAATCAACAATTTTTTTATAAAATTAGTTCTGTAACTTCACAGATATTGGTTTTGTTTCCATTTTTTCCCTACTAGATATTATACTGTGATGTTACTCATACTTTAATAGCATTGTGTTTTAAAACAAAGGGGTCTTAAAAAAAAAAAAAAAGTATTAGGTTTATGGATCTCTGGTTCACAGAAAATGTTGGGTTTTGGCCTCAAAGAACAGTGTTATACATACAGGTGAAACGCAAGCCAGAGATGATAGTAAAGATGAAATGTGGAGAATGGAAAAGAAAAGAGAATTCTTAGCGAACCATTGTGGTATGGGGTTTGCTTTATGTTGGAAGTAGTATAATACCTAAGTCACTGTTAAAAGCGTGCATCAGCAAAGTTGCGCCCTAAAATACAGACTTGAATCTGCTAAAGAGCCTCATTGGCCTCTGAAGAGCATGGGAGCATTTTAGGATTTAGAAGAGATTCAATCAGAAAGTAGTTAGAATTGTATCAAAAATACCTAGTGCTTCCTTTCTGACTGGTAGAACAAGTCCTATGCATGTTTGATAAAAATATCAGTATTGCCAGGGTAATGAATTGATAGTGTAAACATGACAGCACAGTCAGCTGGTAGCGGCTGTCCAAGGAGCGCAGTGTTGAAAATGCAGATTTTGTATTATGCTGCATATGAGACTCATCGGGCATTTACAGCATGGCAGCTTAGCTGGGGCTTGCACAGGAGAGCAGAGCAAGCCTGGGCAGAGCCCAGCATCTTCTGTCTGCTGCTCACCCACTGCTTTTGGAAAGGCTCGGTAGCTCAGCTGCTCTACGGGTTAATATCTGCAGTCTGCTGCACTGCAATAATTATCTCTACTTTTGCATAGTTGGTGTTCCCTCGGTGGAGACAAGATTTTTTTTTTATCCACTGCTAGTAGCAATGCAGCTGTAAATTGTGACTTACAGTGCTGTGTGAGCTGCAGTTAGCTCTAATTAAGTCACTGATGTTGGTGCTTTGTTCTCAAAGTTTCAGTGAATCATTTCACCTCCACTTGAACAAAGCCTCGGGTGCATTAACAGCCAGTACCTGCTCACTTGAAATAACAACCTAGTAATAGCGGGGTTTAAGTTAATGCAAAGTAATGGCTTGGAGAACAATTACAGGTATCTGCAGCTGATGCAGAGGAAAATACAGTGTAATTTACCTTTATTCATAACACTTTGTATTTCTTCCTTCAAACCATTATGTGTAGTTTAGCAACTAACCTCGTTAAATGGATCATTTAATTATAGGGCCTCTGCATGATGGTTTAACATGATGTTATAACAGTAGGATTTTTCTAAAATGCTGTCTGAAGCTTAGCGCACAGAATTATATCCCAGGAACACAATTCTGAGAAAAACAACAGTGAAAATGTTTTCCCTAATTCTTTTGTATGATTCTGAAGTATCACAGTTAAGAGCAGATTGGATGGCCATGATGTACTTTATTCCCAAAATAGAAAAGACCATCTTACGGTAATCGCAGGTCTGAGGGACAAGGTGCTGGCTGTGTCCTTCTCTTTGCTGCAGCTTGAAGATGCAGGTGTAAAATGTTTAGCAGGTGAAGTTTTCTGTTACTTGTAGGTTCCTGTCATGGTTTGAGCCTGGTCAGCAGCTAAACGCCACGCAGCCGCTCGCCCACCCTCCCCCTACTTGGGAATGGGGAGGGAATCGGAGGGGCAAAGGGAGACTCACGGGTGGAGGTAGAAACAGTTTAATAACAGTAACAGAATAATACACTGACAGCAGTACCAACGGGTAATGTACCATACAGCTGCTCACCACCCGCCTGCTCCCGGCCTGCGATCCCCAACACAAAGGCCCCACGGCCCCACTCCCGGAAGTGAGAGCCCCTCCCAGCTCACTCCTGCCTTTATATAGTGAGCACAGTGTCACGTGACATGGAATATCGGCCAATCGGGGCCCAGCCCTCCAGCTGTGCTCCCCCCGCCCCCGCACCCGGGTGAGGGCACTGGGACCTGGGCAGCCCCTGGGGTCTCAGGGGGCTGCAGCTCCTCCCGCTGCCAGACCAACGGGAGCTCTAGGCCAGCCCCAACCAGGACAGTTCCTGACCTGTTGCTACGTAATAGCGACACAAAGGGCATAAAGTGGATAAGCCACTTCAGATGAGCTGAGGCCGTACTCCAGAGAGCGTGTTGCATTGTGTATTTTCTGGAGCCTGCAGAAGGATGAGCTGAAAGGTGTCAACTGTGCTTGCGGAAGAGGAGGCAGAGTAGTGTCGTATTGCTCTTCACCTGCTTTGGTGGGAAGATGGGATGCGTTCTCCCCACTGAGAGTGACAGTTTGAACTGCCAGCCTCTGGGATGGTCCCAATAACCACATACACCCGTGCGGCTGCTTCAGCATCAGGTCTGTGGCCTAACACATGGCAGTGCCACTGCCCTGATCACCAGACACCAGGTGCACATTTTAGTCCAGTGTATAGGGATTTCATCTTCTGTTTATTTAAAAACCAAATATAATCTCCCTGTTATTAATTGCTTGCAAGCTTGCTTGGTTTTCACTTTTTAGTATTCCTCTCACACAGTCTTTCCACTGGGGTGTGCTTTTCAGATTGTTTTATTATAAATTAAAGCTAACAGTACCCTGAGGGTCTGATTTCTGGAATTATTTGGGGAATAGGCAATCCTGCAGCCCTGACAGCTATTATAAACTCAAGCTTCGTGCTTTAGCAAGGCACTTAGGAGAGGTATTTTCCCCTACACCAAACTTGACTGGTGGATGCAGATTTTCTAGAACAACAGTGAGAAAGCTGTTATCTTGTCAGGGACAGCTACTGGCTGCATCTGGAGACAAGATGCTGATAGGGATGAATGGATTTCAGAGGCAGCAGGGAGAATTCTCTCAGCTTACTGACTGTCTCGGTCCTTATGCATTTACTTAGGATGATGTTTATCATCAAATTCGAGATCTAGAAGGAATGTTTCCCACCTTAGGTGATAAAGAACCTTAAAAATCTTGTTGCTTTTCATCGCAGCATGGAGTACAACATGGGAAGAGGCTCTCTCCTTCCTGCAAAGGAGAAGGGAAATGGGAATGCCACTCTGTAACTGAAAAGGAGTATTAGCATATGTTTGATAGTATTGCAGTATGACCCACACCTCACAGAAAGGGACTCTTCTTTGCAAAGGTGTGCAATCTATGCACTTTGTTCCTTCTCCTGGTATTCACATCACACCTAGATTACACAAACAAGAACGTTCTTTCCTTTGTACAGACTACCATCCAACACATATTCAAAACATTCAGCTCTGCATCAAGTGTGATTTGCTTACTTTTTATTGATTTGACTCTTTAAAGTTGTGTGGATTGCGTGAGTCTGTGTGGGATAGAATATCTCCAGCACAGTTGCGGTTTTGTGTGCCCGGTGGGAGTGTGTGTGCATGTGCATCTCTGTACAGAGTATTACAAATGTTGCGATTCATTAAGAAAGGTAACAGTGTAAAAAAATTTTTTAAAAGTGGTCTTAAATCAGTTATCACAAATGGGTCTTAAGGAACAGATTTTTACCTCATATCTGTGAGGGAATGCATACAGTATTCTCCTCTCATGTCAGGATCTCACCGTATTTTCACTTTTGAAGGCAGGTATTTTAACTTGAAGACAGTTCTACTTTGAAGACAGGCTTACTTTTCATTTGTTATTCGTTGAAAATCTTAGTGTCTGTAACTTTGTCTTGTTTATGTATGCATTTACTCCTTTTAGGACTGGAACATATTTCTTTTACTAGAAACAGTGCTTGGTAAACAATAGTGAGCTTTAAGAATTCAAGGAATAAGCTAATTCTAGAATTTGAGTCTGAAATTACTTGAAGCTGTAGTTCAGGTTCCTTGCTAACATAAATTTCTGACATTAGCCATTGATCATGGGCTTATCTGCATGATAGTCATCCCTGCATGATAGTGTAAGGACAGGAGTGGAGAGAAAGAGCATGCTGAAAACTGGACTGTAGGCAATGCCACCTTCTGGGGTTGCCGGTGGGATTTCTCCTTCCTTTAGTAATGAGACTGGAACTCGTTGGCTGCATCTCTTTGATGTGAGATGTTTGCTTCAGTGATGCTGTCAAATACCATCGCTATTTTTGCCAGCAATGTACACGGACTTTTACAAAACTGAGTTGTTACATTTGTCATGGTCAGGAAATCTAGATTTCTCATGGTATTTTTTTGCCCTTGGGAATGAATGAATGAAAGAACTAGTAAGAATGATGATTCCCAATGGGAAAAATTGCTGAGTTGTAGGGCACTTAGAGATTAGGAAAATTCTGGCTAATGTGTGCTACTTAATACATCTTTAAGGTACATTGCTTCAAAACATTCACCATTTGGGAGGCATGTATTTGCATATATTTTGCTAATTAATTTCATTTTATACCTGTTGTTTTTATTTTATTTAACAGTACAAAGAAACCAGTTTAAACTAATCCATTTGGAACAAATGTTCCTGAAGAAAAACCTTCAAATTTCTAAGAACATTTTTTTAAAAAGCTTTTTCAAAACCCTGTTTGTCTCCATACTGAATAGTGGGATAAATCTGCACTGGCATCTGAACAGAGTCATTTACGGCTGCGACCTTTACAACTGTTCTTTGGCACCCACACTGCCTCCCAAAAGTACATCATTAACATTGTTTGTATGCTCATAGATTTTGTAAGTTCTTGTTGCTTGTCATTAAATTATTGTTATTTTTCTTTTGGCCTTCTCTTTCTCTTCCTTCACATCTACTTGACCCTCATACAGCTCTCACAGAGGAGAGTGACATGGAGAGGTTATGTTCCACCCACCACTCCTCCTCTTCCATTGTTTCTCCATCTCACTGGTCACCACCCTTCCCGTGCCCCAGCGGCCGCTCCTGCTGCCAGTGCCTGCTGAGGATTCTGGTCACACTCTACCTCTTCATCTTTGTTTGTTCATACGTTGTGTTTCTTTCCATCAATTCAGCGGGCAAGTCCACGAAAAATGCAAACTCAGAGAGTCATTCGCTTGAGTCTGAGCTGTCCCACTCCACTCCTTCCTCTGTGCTGTGTAAGTTGAGAGACTCATCTGCTCAGATGATCTCTTTTGTCTCTCCTCCTCTTCCCTCCCCATCATCTGACAGTAGCACAAAAACGGTCAATGCTGTGATCTGTCTGACCTGGGAGTGACCTTTTCTTAGGGCTTACAAAAGTATGGAGTATATTTTTTGAGATATTTATTTCTTGGCCAGGCTTTATTAACTGTAAAAATATTATCATCAGCTGTAACAGCAGTATAAATAGGTACGTATTTCGAAAAGTTGTATCTTGCAGAGATAATCTTTGCAGTAGTTTTCAATTTAGAGGTAGGCTTGGCTCTCACCTCTGCTTGGGTCCTGAACAGGATCTCCAGATTAATTACCTGTTACGTTTATGTATGTCCTCAAGTTTCGTTCTTTAGCATCACCATTGATAAACCAACCTTAAAGCTGCTGCGACAGCTGTTAGCTTCCAGCACTGATTCATGACAGCTGAAAAGTTTCATGTTTTGCTTAGGAGAAGATGTGTGATGATCAGTGATCAACTAACCGTAAAAGACATCTTTAGGGTGAGGAGACTATGTTTGAGCAGTTTAAACATGAGAGGAAAAAGGCATCATGTAGCTTGTATACTGGTAGAATATAAAAGGCCTAGGTAGATGCGTTTCTTGTTTATAAATTAACTCAGAGATTCTTTAGAGTGGAGGGACCTTGTGAGTAGAAATGGGGAATGACTTCATAAGAATGTAGGTTTGGCATGCCAGATTCTGATCCTGTGTCCTGTGTGAGTTAGGGTGGTTGCACTGGTACTAAGAATGGGCATTTGCACCAGTAAAGGTGAAATCCAGATGGGCCATTGGAAACACAGGCTGTATGTAAGTGGCCTGAGCCTTATTTTAAGTTTCAGTGGAATTTTTGGTAGGTGCAACTAATGCAGGTTAGAGGGGAATCAGTCCCTGAGACGATGGGCTGTCTTCAGTCATGACTGTTGACAGGTGATGTTGAAAGAGTAGCTTCATTCCGAGGGAGGAGCAGGATAGCATATATCAATGTATAGATTACTATATATCAAACTAGAACTACAACTACCAACAGCACAAACTGCACAGAACCTTAAAGAGGAGAGAAATTAATAGGGAAGACATGGACCTGTATAACATTCAAAGCTAAGACATGCCATAAGGCTTTTATTCCATCCACGTTATATATTTATATATTATTTAGATATATATTGTATATTTATTATGTGCCCAACGTTTGCAGATTTGAATGATAACAGTTTCACATTTCCAGCTTCACTGGGTAGTTATTAGTGCTAAGACCACTGTTTATGTTTAAATGTAGAGGTTCATTACTAATTTTGTTACCAAATTTAGGAACCAGAGGCACCTCAGGTAATACCACTATCCTTGAAAAAAATTAGATTATTTTAGTTTCCCTGAAAGAGTGTGGTGCAGAAATGGCATAGTATGTATATACAGTGACATTTTAAGGAAGAGAATGATTTCATATTTATTCTGTTCATACTGTGACTTCAGAAAGAAGCATACTTCTTTGCCACTTTGCTCCACAAAATAAACTTCTCAAAATCCCATAAAAACGTGCAGGTAGAATTTAGTTTAAGGAATGCAACAACAATTGAATTAAACAACCATCTGCTATGAGGCAGGAAAAGTATTAAGTGAAACTGTTCTGGTAAAGCTGCTTGGATACATGGTAGTTTGTTTAAATGATTTACAGATCAGAAATTTAAAATTTGCCAACACAGCAGAAGTTAACCTAGTATTTGAATATGCACCAGATTGCTGGTATTTTTTTATTCTGATGCTTCAAAATAACTTCATCCCAATTACGGGAATGTTTAATTTCATTAAATAACTAAGTTTAGTGACTAAAGCAACTATAAAGTCTCTGCAACCTCACCTGTCCTCAACTTAGTTTTAAAAATGTGTGACTCTGGTGTAATATGATTTTAGAAGTGGCCATGATATGCTGTGTTTTCTGTAGTTGTACCTTTAATAGGAATCAGCAGTCTCGTGGCCTGAGAATATTCAGAAAACTGAGAGTAGTTACTGTCTACCAAGAACAGAAATAGTTCAATTACAAGTAAAAAGAGCTTAAGTGCTGAGAGAAGACATTAGGAATTTAATAGTCTATGAGGGTAAAAACTGCTGGTGTGGCTGGCGGAAGATGGGTTTGTCCTACCATCATTTTGAAGGGGAGTTTTGTTGGGATAGCTCTAAGGATTTGTTTCAGAATAGTGATACAGATTATAGAGGTCTCTGCAATATTACTATATAAAGGCTATTGGGGTTGTGTACATTTGGCAGACTTGCATTCACCAGAGAAAAGATAACTGCCACAAACAACTAGAATAATTAATACTTTTCAGTAGCAGTGAGGAATGTTAAAAAGTCAGTGAAAGTTAATACTGCTGAGACTTTTTTGGTAAACTGTATGCGAATTACTGGGCTTGCCTAAAACAAAGACACAGGCTCAAGTGAATATGATTTTTAACTTACCTCACAGGAGAATTCAAGTCAGTATTTTCGAATAGCAAATTTGAGAATTTAGAAGAAAAAAAAATATACAGTGGAGTCAGACTACAAAATTTAAGATGGGAGGTGGTGATCAGGGGCACGTGAAGTTTCTTTATGTCAGAAGTGTCTGGGAAATGAGAAGGGCTCCAAAGATGAGTTGGATGAATACCTGTACCTGACAGCTATGTTGTGACAGCACAGTGGTAAGAAGGTTGGAACCAAAACAATCTACAGTATTAGCGCTGTGTATTATGAAACTGAATTCACTGTTTGTTGTTAAGTAGCAATTTTTATAATTATCAGTATACATTATATTTATAAACCAGATAAATATTGGTTTCTTAGCTGGTAAACTTGATAGGTGTCACACATAATCTGCTGATACAGACATGGGAAAAAGATGATGCAAACGTGGCGTGTTGAGGAAGGATTATCATATAGTTAAAGTAAGTCCTGGAGACTAAAACATCTCCATTTCAGCCCTGGGTGCTTGAGGTATCGAGGAATATATTTTTTAAAGGTAACACAGTTTTTGTATGAATAAAATAGGCAAATACCATATTTCTTAGAATTATTGTTTGGGGATTATTATTATTATCTCAACATATCTCACTGGTTTTAAAAGCTTATTTAAATGGAAGGAAATATAGAATTGAGGGTTATTATTGATTTTCCATTGTAAAAGAGTAGTGGAAAACAAGATTTCTCTGAATTGGTAGAGTGATAAGGTAGGAGCACAGATTAAATAAAAATGTGCAGAGCAGCAAAGCTTGTTAATGTCTCAGTTATCAAGACTTTAAACGTAATTTCTTTAGACAGCCACCAGATTCCATGATTAATGTAACATGTTGGGAAACCATAGTGCAGTATCTTGTAAGTGCAGTGACCGTGATACAGCTTTGTTCTGAGACTGTAGGTGATTTTTCATTAAAAAATAAACATTTGCTATACAATATAAATATTACTATAATTGTGTGGTAGCTCCAAGGAGAGATCATCTTTCAAAATAATTCATTTCATATAAATACAAAGAAACTATGTGGGACATAGGATAAGTTGCTTAACATCACATTGTGATAAAGGTTTAAATAGGAGATGCATTCATTTTGCTTGACTTTTTTTGTCAGTATAGGGTGGAAAAGTGCTGGGATAATTTTTCAGATATTTGCCTACATATCTAATGAATTTAACTTTTTTCATGAGGCAAGTAGTAGGCTTACAGGTTTTCAGAAAGGTGAAAGACAGTCAATAGCCTAAAAAAAAGTTCTCCAAACCATCCATCCATATCAAAATTTGATGAATCCGAGTGAATCTTTGGAATCAGCAGGCGCTAGGAAAGAGAAGTTACATGTAAGATGACAACTCAGATGTCTTAGTTCATATCAAAGTTTAAGGTTAAGCAGTGGGATGAGAGATAAGCTCTGATCTTACGTACACTACATTTTTATAAACTTCCTGAATGAGAAGGCCACTGAGGCATGCCTTGTCATGTGAGGGTGTAGGTATTTTTTATGTAGATCTAAGATTCAATCAGTCATTTATTCATTCAGCGCCTTCTTTTATTTTCTTCACAGAAATTACTTTATTGATATATTTGTGGAATAAATTGTAAGAGGAATTATCAGCAGAGGATTTTCAAATATTGGTGTGAAGAGAATGTTTTTGAAAAACATTTTGTGACATTTGTTGTATTCCTCTGCTTCTGGGGCAGCAGTCCATGCTGTAAAGTTGAATGACATCTGGTACATCCACATAGTCTCTTCCTCTTTCTTTTCAAACTTTGGTTATTTTCAGAGTATAGAAATAACATTAGTGGCTGTATGCTTTCCATCTAATTGCTGTTTATCGGGATGATGTTCAGTTTAGAAATGAAGCTAGGTTCCCCCATACTGTGCCATTCAATTTTAGGAGACCAATGTCACCTTGATAAGGACTGTACTGTTTTAAAATGCTAGAACAATGGGTAGGATTTGTCTCCCCAGATTTAAACATCCTCCACAATGTAGATACCTATATTTGAGCTAGTTGTCTAGACTCCCTTTCGTCAATGCAAATAGGTCAGATGAGTCACACTTGTCTTAAATATCTATTTTGGGATATGATGAATCGTGCCCTGAAAGTGCTGATTTCTCTCCATTGACTATAAGGGAGGGGAGTTGAGAGAACAAACTTACTTGCCTCTACTTACACACATCCAAAATGTTGTGAGATTAACCCAGCCTGATGTGTACCAAGATACGTAGTTAAGAGTACTGGGTTGAAAAATTTTAAGGGTTTTTTTCTTGAGAAACAACATGTGAGCAAGTAAGAAGCAGAATCATTTTAATCGTCTTCAAGTTCATGGGCTAATCTGTGAAGAAGCTACCTCATTCTTCTGGAAAGGTGCTTTACTGCTTAGCAGGGATTTCTTCACTGTTTCAAAGCAAAAAAGTAGTAAGGGGTATGCAGTTCCCTGATTTGGGTACTGTCTGAAAGGTGAAGGTGATTTGGTT